ATTAAGAGTATACATGACTATTTCTAACATCTCTAGAACATCACAGTTAACATACTTTTTATGAGACATAAAATACACTCCTATGCATTTTGACTCCTTCAAACTAGACCGTATCTAAATCTTTTAATGCTGTACAAATCAAACCTTATGTCTATGGATTTGACTTTTATGCAAACTAGACACGTATGTCTACATTTCGAACTCTCATGCAAACCAAACCCTGTGTCTATATTTTTCACTCTTGTGGAAACAAACCTTGTTTACATGTTTGACTCTTGTACAAACCAAACTTTATGTCTATATTTTTATTCATGCAAACTGTTAAATAATAGTTTAGGAGACTATTATTTTTAGAGGAATAAAAATTTTGGCTTTGACTTCTGATGGTTGACATTTGGGGTCAGATGTGAACCAAATATGGAATTAGATTTTTGATTGACTGAGCTGGCGTGGAACGAGATAAGAAAAGGATTCAGAGAGTTATTTCTTACATGTTTGCTTTTGTGTCTGAAGTGGCTCCCCAGTGTGTGTGTGTGTGGTTGGGGAGGGCTACTGGATAGTTAATTTACATGTTGACATGATTAATAAGAATACCTAAAAAAATTCTCTATGTTGAAGTCTTTCATTGCCAAACTGAAATAATTGACAATCGCCAATTAAGAGAAAAAAAGCCAAGTTGAGATCATTCACTTTGTCAATATGCAACAACTCGACCTTATACCTACATTTTGACTCTCATAAAAACCAAACCTTATGTATACATTTTGAAATCTCATGAAAACCAAACCTTGTGTCCATGTTTTTTTGACATGTAAGTTAGATCTTACACTTACATTTTGACTCTTGTACAAACTAAACTTTATGCCTACGTTTTTTACTCTCATTATACAAAAGGTTGGTAAGTTGTAAAAAAATTAATTAATCAACACAAGACATTGTTAAATGCTCTGAAAAGGAAGAAACAATGACTGAAGAACATTAACCAATTGTTGGCTTTAGTTGTTTGACTGTCACTTAAAACATGTACATATGTGTATACATATTGAGTTTCCTTGTAAATCAGGACATTTTTTTCTTAAACTATAAATTGGTGAATCCCTGATAAAAAAAAAAAACGCTCATGTTTTTTTTTCTTTCTTCCCCACATTTGCTTTGCTTCCAAGTACTACAAATTAGACAAAGATCTTATTTTTTTTCATTTCATCTACTGAGAGCTAATGACATCGTTAGCAATAAATATATATTGGGGAAAAGAAAAGGATTCATACCTTTCTCAATGGTATTAGCATGTAAGTGAATTTTACGATGGATTCAACTGGAATTTAACTCAGCTCTCCAATTTCTCAATCTGGTGGCTATTCATTTTCCACCATGCCTTCTCAGTTTAATATACAAACAGCTTAAAAAAAAAAAAATTATTATATGTATTATTTTCATATCATTTCATTATATGTATTATATTTATGTCCTCCCTGTGTTTTAGTCCCTAATTATATTAATATATGTCATAGAAATGTGTTATGTTCCAGATTATTCCTTTATTATTGCATTAGCATTGGTGGGTTAGGTAAATACTTATTTATGGAAAATCCACGGATATATTAAACATGTTATGACGCATTTAGAATGGAATTTTGCTTCATATATAAATTGTTTAGTTCAGTTCCTTGTTTGTACACATATTGGATTGTTTTGCATTCATCTTTTCATTTGTGTTGTGTTTGTTTTAACCTATTGCCTTTCATTACGGCTGCTAAGCATCATTTAATCTCTTTTAGTTTATATCAGGGCTCGAAGAAAGTTTAGCCATTACTATAGAATTGAAATTAGGCATTGTTAAATGCTCTGCAAATAGAAAACAGTGACAAATTTCCTAGGCTTAAGTTGTTTGACTGTATTTTGAAACATGTCCATATGTGTATACACATTGAGTTTCCCCGTAAAAGATAAAATGATTTGGTGAATTTTAAATATAAACTAAAAATAAATGTGTTTATTTTTTTTTCTTATCTAAAGTTTCTACTACTTCTGAGTACTGCAAGAGACAAGATCTTACAATTCATCTTCACTACCAAGAGCCAATGACATCACTAAAATAAATATATAAGCAGCTTAAAAAAATTTCTTTGTAATGTATTATTTTTATTTCATTATATATGTATTATATTTATATCCTTTTTTTTTTATTTAGTCCCAATTATGTTAAGATATATCGTTAGAATGTGTCCTAAATTATTACTTTACTATTGCATTAACATAGGTATCTATTCACTGAAAATTGCATTTTATGACACATCATAAGAACAGAAGAATGTTGTAAATTGAGGACCCCCTGTAGTATAAATAAAGCAAAAAGATGTCTATAAGATTGAATGTTTAACCATTTTGACAGGCATCAAAAGAAGGAAAAATTTTGAAGGATAAGAAGACCTCATCTGGAAGAAATTGGTTTCAAGAAAAGATTAAAATTTCCAAATAACACCAGTGCTGAGGTCTGCAAGGTTACTGATTTGCTGTAGGTTTTTAAAAGTCCAGGGCTTGAGATTAATGTTGTCCCATCATCCAAGGCTATGAGAGAATATTTATGTAATGGTAAATATCACGATTCTCTTTCTTCTAAATGATGCTGGTATGATACATACTTTAAAAAAAAATTCTATTATATTTATTCTAAATGGAACAAATTTCTTATAAACAACAAAATTGTACTTTTTACCAATAGTGGTAGGTTTTATACATTTAAAGAAAAAAAAAAATTGAGTGTGTTTTTTTAAACTGGTAAATGAAACCCAAATTTTAGATTGATAGATTTGTGTTTGTATTATATATATATATATATATATATATATATATATATATATATATATAAAACAGAGCATGTCTGTGTGTCTGTTTGATACCTTTTCACTCAAGATCATCGAACCGATTTTAACCAAACTTGGCATATACATTGTACAATGTAAGAAATAGGGGCTTGGCATAAAAAATTGATGATTTTTAAAAATCAAAAATCGATAAATTGATAAATAATTCTAAATTCAACTTTTTTTTGGTATGTAGGTTACTTACATCATGACAAGCTCAATGATACCTCATTTTATTTCTACTTCACTGCATTTAGTTTAAAATCATGAAAAACAAAAATTGATTTTAACACAAATTTTAAACTAAAAACTTTCAATTTTCAAGCAATCTAATACAAACTTCATTCAATTGTAGCCAACAAGTTGATTGTTTAATTTGATAATTGAGTTCTACCCATATAGTGAAAACCTGTGTAAATAGCAAAAAAAATGGTGATTTTTTTTGGTTTTTTTTTTTTTTACTTTTCTTTCTTATTTTTTTTCATTGATCTTTCAACCAATTTTCATCAAACTTAAAAATTGCTTTATAAATGTATCCTCTTTTACACCCTAGTAGCACACTGACAAATTGAATTTCAAAAACTCCAAAATGATTGTGGTCTGAAGTGGGTCTTCATGTTGCCTTCATGTCCTCAGCTAACTTTGATTGAATAAATACAGACTACTTCTGTTATATCAGTAACTGCATTAATTCACAATGATTTTTAATGAAAGTACTTTAAAGTAATTGAAGAAGATAGACTGTGTTACATTTAAACATGATGCTGTTTTTGTTCTATTCTAATTGAACGCTTTTTCTGATCACCCAGCTGAGTATGGCTGCTAGTGATTAATATTATATGTAATAGGCATTATCCTCATATATTTCACTTGGGGCAGATATAACTTCTGAATATTCATCTTTCTCTCTAGATTGTCTGCCTGACAATGATGGCAACTCCAAAAAAATAAATATGAATGATATCATAATATAAGCATTATTTTCATATTTTCAACTGATAAGTGTTAAAGAGTCCTGCAGAGAAGTAGAACATTTCTAAGATGGCCTTCTGTGTCAGTCTCGACTGATCCCCATGCACCCAACACTATAAAAACATCAAATAGGCCAATTTTGCAATTGTTGCCTTGCAATAGTGCCTCCATAGTGAAAATCATTTTTGTGTAGTGAAAAGTTAAATGTGATTGGCAGAAATGTCCAACAAACAGAATTGACAAGGTTTGCAATGAACTATAACAAGAGAAAGAAAAGAGAAAAATAATATTAAGCAAGCAAACATTATATGTAAGGCAAAGTGACTGCAATAAGGTGAAGCAACAGTAATGAGGCAAAAAAGTTCACAAACTAAGAATAGTGTTAATACAAAAAAGGGATACAGACAAGTGATTGCAGTGTTCTGACATCAAGACCAGAAAGAACAGAACTAAATTGGATGAGACTGTGAAGTGGCCGATCTTATTGGCTTGGAAGAAATCCCAGCATGCATCTCTGTTTTGTCTATAATTTTTTTTTTGGGGGGGATATATTTGCAGTTATTGCTATACAGCAATGTTTCTCAACCTTGTTAAGGAATGGCACACCCAGGAGCAAATGAAAATATCACTGCATAGTTAGCAAAATTCTTAAAGGGTATACATTTAAATGTTATGAAATGATATCTTAGATTTTTACAAAAATCCACACATAAATATAAAGTTTATTTCAATGTTTCTATTCAACTATTTGTGCAGCTTATTTAGTGTTAAATCTGTGCGTGGTGGTGGATTTGTTGTTTTTTTTTTTTTTTTTTTTTCCTTTTTGTGATTTCTTCAATGTTTGGTCGAATGTACACACACAAGATTAGTGTTTTAATATATGGATTTTCACCACATGAACTTGTGTAACAGACAAGGTTTAGTTTTTCTTTCTTTTATGTGCCTTGTCCTTTTAGGATGTAGGCGGTTATAGCTCTCTGGAACTGCCTGTCTTAACTCTTTACAATCCAAAATTTGGTTATTGCTTATTATTTCATCTGTCTATAATTTGTAGTTCGTAAAGTCATTTGTGTGCAAATTCAATTTTACAAATTTTATCAATTTATATGTCAATTTTTCATTTTCTTCCTGCAGGATCCAACTGGCTTTGCAGTTCGACGTTGGATGGGTCAACAAACTAATGCTGGAGGTGAGATCGTTGTATTTTAGGGATTATTTAAAATTAATCTACATCACCTCATTGATTCTGTATTAATGGAATGACTGGGGGAAATAAATTTATTTCCCCCTTTCTATATAAACATTACCATATCTATGTTATATCATTTAGTTGATGGCTGAAATCAGACATGGGCATGTATAATTGTTTGAGAGAAAACCGTTTATCTACATATTTAAAGAATATGAATGTGACAATAGGCAGCAAAAAGGATGCACATGTGTCAATAGGTCAGCACTTGATTTTTCATCTCTTTTTTTTTTTTTTTTTTTAAATCAACTTTGCACTCGGTGTGAAAGCTGGGCTTTGATGTGAAAAGTACTGACACCAAAAATTAGATTCATAGCTTTCACCAATTTTTGAGCATTTAGTTTTAAAGATATCCTCAAGAAAAAGGATAGAGAAATACCAAATTTTTTATTATATACGTTGAATGGAAAATATATTCAAACCAGAATTCTAATTATGAATAATCACAAACAACTATATTTGCTAAGTAAAAACTGAAGAGAAAAAAAAAATTATAAAATGTTACATAAAAAGGCTACTCAATGAATAAGATTTTGTGATGTCACTGAACACTCGTTGCTACTTCTGTGTTGCGAATGAATACTCGTCACTTTTGTAATGCTTGTTGTAGTAGAGACTTTGTAATCACAGATACAAGTACAGTATGCTGCTGAACAGTACTGGTGTCAGATACTTTCGAATATCACTCTCACTAATAATGCTTGCTTGATAATACTTGCTCAAACAGTAATCCGTATAGTGATCTGTGCCGATAGACATTCGCACTTGCCGGAGTCGAAGCGTCCAAGATGTTTTGCTTGTTGGGCTGCTGTTTTGTGATGGATATGTGCATAAAACCAAGCTAGATGGTTTGTCATTTCATCAACTGCATCCTTTCCTCTCACAAGTGTGGTCCGTGAAAAGTACATACTCCGACATTTGTTAATTTTATGCTGCTTGGCACGATTTGTCTAGTGGCAGTCTACATGCTGATTGGTCGAGCTGGGGACTCCAATTGAGAATGAGGCCAACGGCGATGATTGGTGCGTTGGTTGTGTTTTTGGTGAATAAAAACAGTCTGGGACATTGGCTGGTAGTGCGTCTGGGACCATGGTGACGTGCACTGCTATAGAGGTTCGTATTAAGTTACGACTCTGTTTATTTTTGTCTGGGAGCTGGACGCTAGCTTCAAACCCACCGCTAGAGTGAGCGGTGTAATTACCAGTGTGTACCAAAACGTGGAAAGAACACACTGAACTTCAACATGATCCGAGTAGAGAATAGTGGTTCATATAGTAATAGAGGATAGAGTAGAAATAGTGATCTGAATAGTAATAGAATAGAAATGGTGATTGTTAGTTGTCAGCTACTTCCTACATATATGCATTTCCTCTATGGTCATGTGATCTTAATTCAATAATGGGATCGCCTGTGTTTGCTCACTGGTGATCTATGTTCGAACTCAAGTGTGAGCAGTGACACTTTATTTCTATATAACATATGTCAGATCATAATTAATGAAAACAAAATTGATGAAAAGATAAGAGAATATAACACCATAATACTGCTAGGCCCAAGTTATGAAACACAATGATTTAAATTTGTATTGTTTATTGAAAAATCACACTAAAACTGTATAACATCAAAAATTGTTCAGTATAATTTCCCTTTGAAATAAATGAATGTCTTATTTGATGGCGCTATGATTTAGTAATAATGTGCTTGTGCCATGCATCTGGTCCATATACAATTTGTGAAGCTTCAGTAAATTATAAATTTTATAAGATTTTCACTGATCATCAGAATGAAATTACAATGCTACAATCTTGAATGTAAATATAATCTTGTTTTGTCAAGAAATGGTAATGATGTGGAAAAAATATTTTGTGTCATTATTAATCATGTGAAACCCCAACATTCAAATTGAGTGCAATATCACAGTTCCAAAATTGACCCTTGCCCTAATGAGCAGTTATGGAAAAAGAAGTGAATTTAGGGCTTACTTGGTTGGCTTGATATTGTTGTACCACTGATTTAGCTTTGGTCATGTCAGGTAGAAGAAAATGAAAGGTTGGAGTACACATATAAAAATTATCTAAATTTAGATTTTATTTTGTTTTTATTGAAAAGAAATTATTTTTAAGTATTTCATGCTGCTTGTGGAAGATAAGACTAAGATGACAAAAATAACAATGAAATTAACAATCAGTTGTCAAGATCATGAAGTTCACAACTAATGTGTTGCAGCTAATTGTGAAACCCATATTTTCCATGACTGTATAATATGCCAAGGCCATATAAAGGTTTTGAATTCAGAGTTGCCAACTATGACTAGTGAGCCCAGTTTTCTGTGCTATTTAATCCATAGTTGGGGGCAGAAGAGATGCATTCATCCCTTTTCCCTTGAGAGTATTTCGGCAAAATTGAATGTGACAAACTTGAGCAGAAATTGAACTCTACTCGCCAATTTCTCATTCTGAACTGCTAACCATAGCACCCCTCCACAATTGATTTTAGGATGTAAATGTTGTTTGTATTTTTGAAAATTGAAAGGAATGTTACTGTTTGTGGCAAAACATTTTGTATTTTTCTCTCTTTCTCTTGTGTATGTATATATATATATATATGAAATATATATTAATTCATGTTTCATTAAATAATATAGACAAGTTTTGTCTATTTTAAGTAAGTTCCTTTCATATTGTCTGATAAGCTTAATAACATTATCATTGAAAGACGAAAGGAAATTACCATATTGATACATGTTTAAATCTAATCAAAGCTTTTGGCTTACGTAAGCCATTATCAAAGATGACAGTTACTTTTCAATATATCAACCAATGCATGAATGAAACAATAAGTCTGTTTTTGTTGCATGAAAAATTTCAAAGCAACGACTGACTTGTGTATACGAGACGCGGAAGTGAAAATCGCGTCACAGCTCGTGACATCACACATGACCACGTGAGGGTGAAAAGGGGAAGTATTAAGCATATATAATAATATATGATAATGTTATTAAGCTTATCAGACAATATGAAAGGAACTTACTTAAAATAAATAGACAAAACTTGTCTATATTATTTAATGAAACATGCATTAATGAGAAATTACTGCCTAAATATATACACACACACACATATATATATATATATATATATGGGGATCCCACACTTATAAGTCTGGATAGATACAAAAAAATTGCCCTTCTTTCAGTATTACAAAGACATCAAAGTGATCCATGTTCCTTATCTTTAGTACAAAGGGAAGGTACTGTCCTGGAGTTTCACCCTCCTCTTCTCTCTCTGTATGTATATAAATTAACAAATGCACTGATATTTCACAAAGGCAACATTTAAGCAGCCATAATCTTCTTAGGCTAAGTCAGCTGCTGGAAAATATTTCGGAAAAGACTGATTAACAGTAGTGAATTGAATATTTAATTTAAAAGCTTAGAAAAACCAAATGTAAAATGTATGAAAATGAGTGAAACTTCACTATTGCAGAAAAAAAGTATATTAAAGAACATTTGAGGTCTTAAATGACAGATATCAAGATACTGCCATTTCTTTTCTCTACGAGTTAATCTTTGCAGTAAATGGATGTATTTTTGTTTAAACCTTTGCATTGTTATCATCGTATATTTTGTATTGCATCGTACTATGACATGATTCCATATTATATCACATTTGCTTCAACCAAACAACTACGTGGAATTGTGTAGATTTCTGAAAAATTCCCTTTCTTAAATTTCAGGTATTGTAAGCCAAAGCTTTGAACTTGCTGATCAACCAAAGTTTGGCAATTGGTCCATTCTTGTCACTGCTTTTGTAAGTAATGTTTTTCCTACTTCGCTATTATTATAAAACTTAGTAAAAAAAAAAAAAATATAGAATGCAAGTATTTATAGAACTTGGTAGAAAATTATAGAATGTAGAGGCTCCTAATTTCATTTTTTGTTCATGTTTTTCTCTGGTGGCAATGTTTGATTGGCTTATTTGTTATCTTTGAGGAGATTTATTTATTTATTTTTTTTTTTTGTCAAATGTTCAGAGGATGATGTCTTTATTTTGGGCTTTGCTTTCTTGGCATTCATGTCTAGCTTACATGTAGAGTGAATCTAATTTGAAGTACAGTATAAGTAGCCACTGTGCCATGTCTCCTTGAGAAAATCCATTACTTATTTAGATCCAGTGACAGGACCCAAAGAGTGTGAGTTCAATACCTGGTTAAGGTGGGGGAGAACTTTCAGAGGGGAATTAACAGGAGATAACTGATAACTGACATCCATTAGACATGGCACGTGGAACTAGAACAGTCTACCCTAGTGAGTGAAAAAAAGGGTTCAGTTTGACATTCCAACCACCGGAGCATACAACAACCGAAACATTGTAATAAATATGGAAACAAAGATGAGGGCAATAGTCCGAATAATGTAAATATTGTACATAATCTCAGAAATATAGACAGATAATGAAGTAGCCACTATAATAACGTTTCAAGTAATAAAAATGTCAGATTAAAAATAAAAAAAATCATTAATTCTTATATATATATATATATATATATATATGTGTGTGTGTGTGTTGGAATAAACAAACACTAAAATAGTTGTTTAAAATTGCATTCAGTAAAAAGTGCTCAATTTCAAGTAAGAAAAATCAAACCTGTAGAGCAACTTAATATCTTAAAAAGATAAAATACTGAATGAAACATTACTGCATTTTGACTGCCAAGGTTTCATTAGGTGGTTAACTTGAAACCATGGTAGTGTTTCATTCAGCATTTTATCTTTTTAAGATATATAAACACACATATAGTTATTGTGTACTCAATTGGAGAATACTCCTGTCTGTCTTCTGGTCAATGATTTTCAATTTTTTTTTCTTTCAATCAAGGCAGATTTTAATTTTTTTTTTTTTGTAATTTTTGTCTTTCTTGAATTTTGTTTTCACTAATTTAATTTAATTCCTAATATAAGATATTAGGATTGGGATGAGGGGTGGGTTTCCCTTTTTTCTTTTTTTTTTTTTTTTGCTATACAATCCCACATAACACCTCTTCTTTCTGATTTCAAGAAATAATCTCATAGTGTATGATAGGCTCTGAATGTTTATATGTTTCTGCTTTCATTTTATTAAGCAAATATGTATAGCAGTAAACACTTTATTAAATTAAACCACATCTATAAAGTAAGAATTTGTTATGAAGGGAGTCTACTATGAAGAAATTTTGAATCCACAAGACATGACCATTCACATCCTTTAAGTCTTCAGCCTTGTAGATTAAAAGTCAGATAAAAAATGTAAATTCTCCTGAGGTTGTTTTTTTGTCTTTGTTTGTTTTAAACATAAATTATTTCCTTTCTATTTCTAGGGTGCTGAGTATACAAAAGAATTCATTGTTGAAGAATTTTGTAAGAATTCTATTTTTTATTTATTTATTTTTTTGATTTAATTTGTCTTAAAAGAATGAAAAAAATAATTGTTATTTATTATTAATACTTTTTCAGGGACTCCACGATTTGATGTTAATGTTACCATACCACCTTACATAATGGATGACAGAGAGTATGTAAATGGTGTTGTGTTGTCAAAGTAAGTAGTTTACAATTTTACCTGAGCTCATCCTGAAGGGTACCCCACAAAAGAACAGGAAATTTTAGATTTACTATATGATGAAAAAAATTAACTATATATTTTACTATATGAGAATGAAGTTTAAAAAAATTAACTAACATATAATTTTTTTTTAACCATTTGTTGTTCTGAGATGCTGCAGTTATCAAATTTTCAATGTAAGGTAATTGTTCTCTTTAAGAAAGAACATCCAACCTGGGGACTGAAAAAATACCAATAAATTTTGCCAGAGTTCTTTAGCTTGAACACCACATCTAACATTTGTGTTTTCATTCTGTTTTAAGCGACTAAATTTCTATCCTTTGCTTTTGTTTCAAATAACTGTAGCAAAAATTCCAACAATTAAATAAACTGTACCAAAAATCCTGTTTTTGTGGGGGGGCTACCCTGTAGTTTTATTCTTCATATTTTCTTGTTCTGAAACCCGTAAGCCTCTTATGAGAGCTAGGGTTTTGAATTCCTAGTGTAATATCAAACTTCTTATATCCCTTTCTCTCTTTTAGACATTTCCACTCTTTAGATCTCTATTAGCTCACTTCTGTTTCTTGTTTTGCTTTTTTTTTTTCGTATGTGTGTATGTGGGGGGGGGTGAAGACAGAAATAAACAGCAAAACTGTCAAACACCAAATGACAAAAAAAACATGGTTCCAGAGTTGAAGGATTCACGCATCCTTCTAGTTAATAAATAAATTCTTTGAAAATAAATATTACCCATTTTTCAACCAATGGGTCGCATTACCAACAACAATTAAAAAAAAAAAAAATGCTTTGTGATCCTTATGAAGAGTATTTAAGTAAAGCCTCTAGACCAGACAAGAAAAAAATGCAGTAACAGATTCATGACATCACAGCTTAAAATTACTTGGAATGATTACTTTGCTACATATATAAATGTAAAAACAGTCTTAGTTGGCTATAACATAAGTAAGCAATGGTTATAGAATGCACACTTGATTATTTTGCATAATTTCTTAAATTTAATTAAAAGAAAGAGCACATTATTTAAACAAGAAAAAGACAATTGTGATAGAAGAAAATGATGCATGGCATATTTGACGAGCTTGAGAAAATGGATGGTAGAACAAGGTCTAGAAATAATAAAAAAAAACAGAATTTATTTAGAGCTGTAAGGGACAGGAGTTTGTGGAGAGCCATGATTACCTATGTCCTGAGGCACATAAAAAAGAATGCACTGACTATTGTTTGTGCCACATGCCAATAATTGTAAGTAAAATGATGAACTAAAATAAATAACCAAGTTATTGTTTTAAGTTCTCTGAATATTGGTGCATCAGTGTGTGTGTGTGTATATATATATATATATATATATATATATCAGTATGTTTCTCATTTGGAGTGAGAGAGAAAGAAAAAGAAGGCTTTACTGGTATGGACATGTGGAGTGTTCCAGCAGTGCTATCAAGTGCACCTGTAACTTTCAGGTTAAAGGAAAGTGAGGTCCAAGATGTTATGGAGGGAGCTGACAGAATGTGATCGCAGAGGGTGGAAGCTCTCTACAGTCGGCCCTCATAGCTGATGCATTTGGAGATTGAGAATGAGAACTGCCATGCATGCAGCTAGCCTGTTACCTGATGAGGACAATGCTCCCTCACTGGCACGATAAACAAAAAAAACCGATAGAGAAGAAAGAAAGAAGTTCTGTTTTGCCTTTAAAGCATATTCACTCAATTCAGATTTTTCTCTAAACACCTATTTGCTCAGAATAGAGAATCTACTCAAGTATAAGTATCTACTAAATGTAATGTTTGAAGTAATAAAAATCTGTTGGATTTAAAATAAAAAAGAAATTCATTAATTCTTTAGAAATTGCTTTGTTTACATTTCAGATACAAAACTGAGCAGATATGCATCTTGATAAAATCCAAATGAGTGAGTGTGCTTTAAGGGAAAATAGAACCTTGCTTCATCTTGTAGCCAAGCACTCAAAGTTTACCAGATCATATCAGCATGTAAATAATGTGTATGTTCTATTATAAATAAGCTTAAGGAATAATAATACATTTCATGTTAGGATTTGTAGTGAAAGAGATAATCAGGTACCCCGAAAAAAAGTTTGTGTTTTTTAAAGATTTGCCAAAAGAAAATTACAAAAGTAGTCAGCAAAATCTACATCAATGACTAGAAGCTATGCTAATGTTCTTCCCTCCCCTGAATGGTGTGACCAATCAGAAAATTCTCTCGGTGAACAGAAGTTGTTGTTTTTCGCTTATATAAGGAGATGATTTTTTTGAGCTGTGAAATGAACACGTGTTGTTGTTGGCGAGAAGTGAAGGTTGGATTTGTGACCCCATTTTGTCGTCTCTATGGTGTGTGTGACTGTTACGTTGGACTATCGTGTGAACTGCGATTTGGCTACAAGTGTTGCAGCCGAGAAACAAGAAATCTATTGCTGTTGCTACAATCAGTTGACAGTCTTTTCTTTACTTCAACAGGATTTTTATAGGCATAAGCACGCAAATGCATACTGGGATTTTTCCTAGCCAATAAGAGGCAGTTCTTGGTTTCATATGACTCAGTCTTGGTCTGTCTTTATCTTGAAGTCAGAACACTATTTGCTTGTCTGAACTTGCTCTTATGTGTCTATGCCAATTCTTTGAACTTTTTACCATATTACTGTTGTTTTGCCTTATTACTGTTAATTTGTCTTGCAGATATTGTTTGCTTGTTTTATATTATTTTTTTGCCCTGTTTATTTTCTTGTTATTGCTTATTGTAAACTTTGTCAGTTCTGCTTGGTGGGCAATTCTGTCATTTATTTACATCTAACCATGGTCAGTCACACTACAAGGATAAATCGATTTTAAATGCAATTAATTTTATTTTCAGCCATACAAGTGGCAAAGCTACAATTGGTTCTGCTGTGATTACACTGACTGTAGTCCCTCCAAATGCTAAGTACTTCTATGACAAATCAAATCCTCATTTGCCAGTACTAACCAAGGATGTGGAATATGTAAGTAACAATACTGTATGTGTAACTATCTTACTATTATTTCATAATTTAAATAAATATAATAAATATAATTATTTCATAAGATTTTTGCCTGGCTGTACTGGCCTCTTTTATTTTCTAACATTGTTGTCTGGTTGTACAAAACAGAATCCATAAGCAAATTAAAATGGAACAATCAAAACCATATCTGTCACACCCATCTCTCAAGTGTGTAGAAGAATTTACTTCTCTAGGTAGTAAAATCTCTGGCTGCGAAAATGACTTAAACACATGCCTGGGGTGCTTTTGACAAGTTATCACTAGTGTGGCGGTCTTGACTTTCTGACAACATGAAAAGGAGCCTCTTCCAAGTAACTGTCACCTCTGTTCTATTGGGCCCTTACATCTCAAAACTGGAAAGATTGGATAGTCTAAACTCTAAGAGTAGCTTTGATTGTCACTTGGAGGGATTGTCTAACCAATGAGTGATTCTATGGGAATCTTCATCCAGTATCAGACATCATCAAAGAGTACAGAGTCAGGTTCGCAGGACAATGCTGGAGAGCTAAAGACAAAAATTGTTAGTGAAGTTCTTTTGTGGGAGCCTACACAAGGAAGAACTAGCAGAGGGTGACAAGCCAAGACCTATATCAAACATTTGTGACAACAGAAATAGCAAACCTTCTGACCTGCCAAAGATGAACAATAGAATTGGATGGCAACAGAGTATTACGAGAATCCATGCAAGCAGTGAGACCAGATGAATGATGATATAAATTTAAATGAAGAATTTAATTTTACACAACCACCGTTTTTTTCTTTTTTTTTCTTCTTTTTTTCTTCTTTTTTTCTTTCTTTTCTTTCTTTTTTCTTCTTTTTTCTTTCTTTTTCTTCTTTTTTTTCTTCTTTTTTTTTCTTCTTTTTCTTTTTCTTCTTCTTTTTTTTTCTTCTTCTTTTTTTTTCTTTTTTTTTTCTTTTTTTCTTTTCTTTTTCTTTTTTTTCTTTTCTTTTTTTTTTCTTTTCTTTTTTCTTTTTCTTCTTTTTTTTTTTTTTTTTTTCTTTTTTTTCTTTTTTTTCTTTTTCTTTTTTTTTTTTTTCTTTTCTTTTTTCTTTTCTTTTTCTTTTTCTTTTCTTTTCTTTTTCTTTTTTTTTTTTCTTTTTCTTTTCTTTTTTCTTTTTTCTTTTTTCTTTTTTCTTTTTTTTTTCTCTTTTCTTTTTTTCTCTTTTTCTTTTTTCTTCTTTTTTTCTTTTCTTTTTTCTCTTTTCTTTTTTTTTTTTTTTTTTTTTTTCTTTTTTTTCTTTTTTTTTTTTTTTTTTTTTTTTTTCTTTTTCTTCTTTTCTTTTCTTTTTTTTCTTTTTTTTCTTCTTTTCTTTCTTTCTTTTTTTTTTCTTTTTTTTCTTTTCTTTTTTTTCTTCTTTTTTTTTCTTTTCATTATAGCAATGAAAGTCATTATTTGTCTCATTAAATGAAAGGTACACAAGTTGCACATATTCTATCAAAAATCCAAGCCATGTCTAATTTATTTATATAGAAGTGACAAAACCTGCAAATTTTGAACTAACATATTGTATGCATCTTGGATGTGTATTTAAACTGCCAAGGAATGTGGTGTTTTCATGGTGTGTGTGTTCATTTTGTTTTGCTATGCTCTGAATCTGTGATCATTCATTTTATTGCACTCTTCAATCAGAAGTTGTATTATTTGAGAAAATTAACCTTTTGATAATTCCTTTATTTTTAGTAAACATCTGTTTTATTCATCTGTTTTTAGTTCAGACCTGTTGCCAAATGGGGGCTTAAGAATCGTTTCTCCATGAATATGAAACTAATATTTATCTAACAACATATTACCATGACCCTTCCCTAGCATAGACTCGTATATACGTTCAGACACAGACAAATAAACACGTCCAAAAACCAGTTACGGATGTGTTTATGCATTGATTCTTTTTATGCCATTCTGAGCTTGAAATGAGTCCAATTGTCAACTCGTATGTCTGGTAGGGGTGTTGGCCACCATTTTAGTACTTCAAGGTGCCTCCTCAGTTTCTTAGTTACTATATTAAAAACAAATAAAAAATAATTTGTCTGAAAATGAAACCTTTTTTCCCAAAATAATTGACAAAGAAGGGGTTAAAATTCACTCTTGCCACTGAATACATTCTGGTGTTGAGTCTGATTCAGTTTTATTTTTTTATTATAAAGAAAAGAATTACAAAAATTTTAATTTTTGCCTTTTTTTCCTTGAAATTCTTGTCAAAGTTTTAGATTTTTTTACATATTTTTTAAAATTTAACATTTTTATTTCTTTCAGTTTAATGGAAGAATCAATTTTGAATTTTCAATGAGGGAAATTCTCCAAAATATGCGGCAGCGAATGTTTCCTGCAGTTTTAAAGAATAGTGAGCTGATCTTCAATGTCACTGTAAAAGATTGGTATTTGGCTATGACGAGGAATGGATCTGCTACAACATTTTGTTACAGTTCCAATGTTATTGTGGATTGGGTCGGCCCTTCTGTTCGAAGTTTCAAACCTGGAAGCACCATGACTGCCACAGTAAAGCAACATAATTTATTTATTCACTTTTGAAAGGAGTTATTCTATAAAGTATTATAAACTATTTAAAATGAAATGATACCAGAGTTAATTCCTGTCTTTAAAGAAATCATTTAAATTTTACTTATTATTTGAAGCCGGGCGTGGTCTCTTGGTCTAGAACAATCGAGGTGGGGGCGTGGTCTCTTGGTCTAGAACAATCGAGGTGGGGGCGTGGTCTCTTGGTCTAGAACAATCGAGGTGGGGGCGTGGTCTCTTGGTCTAGAACAATCGAGGTGGGGGCGTAGTCTCTTGGTCTAGAACAATCGAGGTGGGGGCGTAGTCTCTCAGAGTAGAAAAATGTTGGTAGACAATCAAGAGTAAAGAAATGTTAAAAATGTTAAAATCTATTTAAAAAAATGTTAGTACTCAAGTACATATATGTTGACCTAAACTGCATTTGTATTTAACTTATAATTTGTAAACTTATGGCGGCTGAAATGTTCTTAGGGTGAACCACTTCCTTGCAGATCAATATTTCAATAACCAAACCTCAAAATATTGATTTGGATGAAGTAATTTTCAATACACTCTTATATATTTAACAATTTTTTAAAAAAAAATTTTCTTTCTTAGGTAGCTGTCATGAAACAAGATGGTCGCATGGCCCCATATGAAAACAAATATGTGAAGGTCAGCATAGCGAGAAAAGATTCTTCTGGAGGTTTTAGTTCAAATAATAAGGTTTTAGTGGAGAAACGACCCGTCAATGGATTTGCAACATTTAATTTTACAATGGGTGATGAAACTGAGACTGTCATTTTGAAGGTAAGTAAACTATTTACTTATTCACCTTTCATTCTTTTACTTTTTTGTTTCTTTTTCCTTTTTTGTTTGTTTGTTTTTCTCCTCCTTTCTCTTTCCTTTTCCTCCTCCTTTCTCTCTCCCTCCTCCTTTCTCTCCTCCCCCTCCTTTCTCTCTCCCTCCCTCCTTTCTCCTCTCTCCCTCCCTCCTTTCTCTCTCCCTCCTCCTTTCTCTCTCCCCTCCTCCTTTCTCTCTCTCCCTCCCTCCTTTCTCTCTCTCCTCCTCCTTTCTCTCTCTCTCCCCTCCTTTCTCCTTTCTCTTTCTCTCCCCTCCCTCCTTTCTCTCTCCCTCCCTCCTCTCCCCTCCCTCCTTTCTCTCTCTCCTCCCTCCCTCCTTTCTCTCTCCCCTCCCTCCTTTCTTCTCTCTCCCCTCCTCCCTCCTTTCTCTCTCTCTCCCTCCCTCCTTTCTCTCTCTCTCCCTCCCTCCTTTCTCTCTCTCTCCCCTCCTTTCTCTCTCTCTCTCCCTCCCTCCTTTCTCTCTCTCTCCCTCCCTCCTTTCTCTCTCTCTCCTCCCCTCCTTTCTCTCTCTCTCCTCCCTCCTTTCTCTCTCTCTCCCCTCCCTTCTCTCTTCTCTCTCTTTTCTCTCTCTTTCTTCTCTCTCTCTCTCTCTCTTTCTCTCTTTCTCTCTTTCTCTCTCTCTCTTTCTCTCTTCTCTCCCTGTTTTTTTTTCTCTTCTTTCCCTTTGTTGTGAATATGATAAATAAACTAGGGATCAGACTAACAAGATCTTTTGCAACGCAACATACTTGGTACACTAGTCATTCATCTTAAGTCTGACCATAATTTTAAATTTTGTCTTAATAGAGATAGGTATTTCTACTGCTATTACAATGTCAGATATTTAAAATCAACAGTAATTTTAAAAACAAAACTGGTAGAAAGGTGAATGAAGTCTGCTATTTTGTGAATCTAGAATAACTGAAATTTAAAATTTAACCTTAAAGTTAAGTGTTCTTGCATTTTCAGCATTTCTTTTCTTGTAGAATTATAACTGAAGTTAGTTTATATTTTAATTTTCTCTCCTTACATATAAATGATTCAATTAATAAAAATATTTAATCTGAAGAAGTCCTTTTGAAGGACAAAATATGTCATGGAGTCTCTTTTATTTTGTCATTCAATTACCCTCAATTTAGAGCCATTAGTCTGAATGTAAATAAAATATTAAGTATTACTTAATACAAAATTCTGTAACTAAAAATATGAATATGCACCTGTTGAAAAATAAGTACACTCCTCACAATGAATTTATTTAAAATCAGAATTTGGTGTGGCCACCTTTATTTTTTTATTACTGCTTGTAGTCTTGATGAAATTGTCCTTATGAAAGGGAAAATAATGACTGCATGTAGTCATACAAGGAAACTTAGTGCATATGCCACCTGTGACTAATTGTTTTAAACATCAGAATACATAAATTTGGAGTACAAAATTTCTGTGACTAGATGAAATATTTGATTAGTGATTCTAATTTTCATTCACTACTTGACCAAACCATTGGGGCCAAAACTATAGTAGTTGGCAAGCAAACACCATTTTACTTATTTACATTGAAATATATAAACAAATATGAAGGAAATATAAGCACAACTGCCAGTTTAGTTGATGTTCAGGCACCTGATGATCATTTATGTGAAACTGCCAATTGAATTTACATTGTCTTCATTTTCATTTTTTATGACCCAGGTAACCTTTGGTATTGTCTATTGTTTTCTAAATGACTCTATGGGAAAACAAGTTTGTTATCATTAATAACACAATTGTTATTAACTGTTACAATCTCTCTCTCTCTCTCTCTCTCTCTCTCTCTCTCTCTCTCTCTCCTCTCATGCACAGAGGGGGCGATGGATAAATTGTCGTCTAAATTATGCAAAAATGAAAATAATACTGACATCTCATTTTAATATATATATATTTACCAAAATTACATAAAATTATCTTGAAATACTAAAGGGTAAATTTATTTGGAATCTCCTGCAACTCTTCTGGATGGTCTCCTTGTTTAAGTTGGTCAATGCTGCTATAATCCTTGTCTTCAGTTCATCTTTGGTGTTACAAGGAGTTTTGTTGGTCTCTTGCTCAACTGCACACTACAAATAATCAAGGAGGTTGCAGTCTTGGGAGTTAGGTGGCCAGATATAAGGGGTGATGTGGTCACAGAAATTGTCTGACAGTTATGACTGGATTCTCCTGTTTGTGTGGGATGGTGCAGAGTCCTGTTGCTTGGCATAGGGTTTTCCAGCAGCTACCCTCTTGACTCAGTCTTGAGGAGGCAGTAATGCTTTATGTTGAGTTTGAGGCCCTGTGGGAAGATGAATGGAGGTATAATGTTGCCATAACTAGTGATCACTTCAAACACCTTTGTAATCGCAATTAGACTCATCCAACTCTTTCTGAATCTTCTGCATTGTCCTTAAATTGACACCTAAATACACTAAAATGTTCGTATTGGAGTCTCTGGCACAAACACCAAGCAGTACAGCATGCCATTTCCAAATTTCTGGTGGAGCAAATAATGTCCAGGTGGTCTTTTTCTTACAGATGGTGCCCAACTGTCCCTACTATACTGGGCAGTTGACAAAATCAAAAACAATGCACATGCACAAAATTAAAAATATAAAATGGCGGCAATTTACCCATCGCACAGTGTGTGCAGAGGGCCGGTATTTAGTACAGTGTGTGCAGAGGGCCGGTATTTAGTACAGTGTGTGCAGAGGGCCGGTATTTAGTACAGTGTGTGCAGAGGGCCGGTATTTAGTACACTTGATTGGGAGCTCAGGCTTTGTAACACTGCATTTGCTTTTTTTCTAGCAACATTTAAATGTTACAAATTAAACTAAGCACACACACACACACACACACACACACACACACACACAGGGTGCCCCCCCACCAAAAAAAAAAAAAATAAAAATTGACACCATTTTGTAATCTAATAACAGCCAATTCTGGCTCAAATGATCTCAAATTTTGAAAAAATGTGTAAAAGTTAGTTGGCTGTGCAGACTTATCTCAATGAGAATCTACCATGGATCAGGCATGCCAGTGTCTATTTGACAATGTGCTGTTGAAATGGCCACCATGTTCACCTGTCTTGACACCTTGTGATTTTTTTTTTTTTTTTTCCTATGGGGACTATGTAAAAATCTATATCCTCCCTCTTCCTACAAGTCTAGAATAACTTATGCAAGACATGCTACAGTATATATATTTGGGCAGCAAACTTTCTTTCAAACATTTTGTCAAATATGACAGACAAGGAAAATTTTTGAAATTTTTTTTTTATATTTCATTTTTCAAATCGTCTAAGATTTTTCAGTTTTGAAGTAAGTACTCTATTCAAACAGCACACAAACTACATCTTCAACAGACAAACATGAAAAGAAATTAACAACACTTAAAAACAAAAACTCTTGAAGAAGTGGTTGAAAATGCTTGGGACAATGGACATTTAATCAGTAATTCAGCAAATTTTTCCTTTTCTGTCATATTCAATGACACACACACCTATATATATATATGTATGTGTGTGTGTGTGTGTGTGTGTGTGTGTGTGTGTGTAAGTAAAGTATACAAGAAATGTTAATATATTTATGAGTAGATAATAATTGATATATTATGTATGATTAAATTATAAGATGTCTTTCATTCAAGGCTGAGTATGGTGATTCTCCTGTAGCCCAACTGGTAGCCAACAAATATTATTCACCAAGCAAAAGTTTTGTATCAGTGGCCACATCCACAAAATATCCAAAAGTAAGTACTTTTCTTTTGAAATGAACACTATTTCACTTCAGATTTTTATAACAACCTTTGAATAATCTACAGGGAATTCCAAACTGAACCCTTTATTTAATCTACAGGAGGAGATTGTTCTTGTTCCACTGTCCATGTGTAGGGATCATCTTGTTTAGTTCTTTCTTTTTTTTTTTTTGTACTGCTCAGTTATTACTTGCCCTGTTTTTCACAGCTTAGTAGATAAGTGTTGGTTTATTAATTTAGTGATATAGTAATTGTGAGTTCAGTCCTTTGGCCTAGTGGTGTGTATTTGGGCATACAGGAAACAGAGCAAGAAATAACTGGCATAACTTCAACATAGTAAATATACATACCCAAATTTGTATCATGTAATGTCACCAGTGAATAACAAAGACTGCACTATGCTTTTTTTTTTTTTTTTTAATCAAATGTGTTAATTTCTAGCAAAATACTGGCACACTGCTGGAACTAGAATGGTGAAGCACTCTATCTCCAAGGTGATGACTCTTCTAGGATTTTCCTGGGCAATTGTAGGAACTCTTTACTTCTCACTAATTTATTGTTCCACTGTATTATTTAACCATTACCACACTCTCCCTTTGCTGCTCTAGGCACATTCTGTTGCTTTGAGACAGTTGCTCTCAATAAACACTTGTCAACTATTATTTCTAGTATTTTAAGCTGGAAATCGCCTACTACTGCTTTGGAACGAGGTTAAACTTCTGTTTTCCAATGCCATTCTAAATTCTCCTAGATGCTACATGAGGTGTAACATTGATTAAAACCCACTTTAATTTTTTGTGATTTTTTTTTTTTTTTTTTTTTCTTGTAAACAAATATGGCTGCATCAATACCCAACAAAGCCTTTAGTTTTTCTTTGATTCGGATCTTAGATGATGATTTTGAAGGCTTTACTTGAATGAATATTGATGGTGAAGTGGTCAAAGGTGATAACCATGCTAGTGACATGGAGGAAAGCGACTAATTTTATGGAAGTTACTGGCAACCATCAATATGCCTGATAGCCTCTCTGAAGGTGAATTATTTTGTCTATTTACAAACAATGAAATAACTTTATTTGTCATGTTAACAAGACAAATATGATATTAGTCAATTGAAAGAAAGAGCAAACAAATGCTGGTGTCTTCTCATATGTAAACACTAGGAAACACATCACTTTTTTGACAAAACAAAAGCCTTTCTTAGCAAATTTGCTTTTTATTGCACCCTCAGAACTTCACAAGGAGTAAAAGTTAAAGTACATTGAACTATGTATTTTTTTTAATGTATTTGTTTCTTATTTTGCATTTCAATTTTTTTTTGTTTTTAACATCAAAACATGCATGCAAAACGTAATGTATTACATAATGCATTGCATAACAATATTACTCATTCATTCTTCTGTACAAAAATTAAAATCTATATGCAAAATACAAAGAAAATTATAACAATTTTAAAACAGTAGGTGTTTGTTTTTGCACCCTCAAAAAAAAAAATGCAGTGGCAGGGGGAGACAACTCTAGAAAGAAATGAGTGTGGTAAAGGTTAAATTTAAACCTCTCGGCATCTATGGTACTTGTTATGTGAAATAGTCATGACATCATGTGTTATATGACATAGTCATGACAAATGTAATTAAGTATGTAAAATACCAAATATCAACTTGATGAAACAACTTTTGGTAATTCAAACATTCTCATAGTTTATGTGATGCATTTTAGTCAAAACTCAAAATGGTGTTTAGCAACCACAGTTCTGTTTCTATAATAATCTGAGTAATTTGTGTCACTATATTGTCTCCAAGGATGTCTTTAGACCAATACACAAAAATCATACTATCTCTGTCTCTTACCAAAAATCAAATCATCCATCTTTTCCATGTTTTTTGCAGTATTAAATAGCATGATGCATATAGTCAGTATTGGCTCCTTTTATTGTCCTCAGTAGGGAAATTTTGCTGACTACTTGTCAGTGATGGAGAGGGGTAAGTGATTGAGAGAGACCTCTCAGTCTTAGTAATTGCAGAACCACGTGTTCCTACAAGGCAAAAGTTCTCACGGGAAATTTTTGGAGGGATGAACTCCATTTTTTTATCAAGAAAGTTTGCCTTCTTTCAAATTGCTGATTTGTCAATTCTCAGGTCAATGGAAAGGCACTGCTACACCGGTCTCCTTTTTTTGTGGGACTTGTGACCCTATCAATTTCAGAAATATATCTCTAACAACTTGTATAGCTGTTTTTTAGTTTTACCTTTTTCATTTTCTCCTAATTGTTAACTTATTCTCTTATATTTTAAACAATGTTGCAGTTGTCTTTCTAAATTCTCCGTTATTCTATATTATTGACTCAACTTTACTTGATTCTTTTGTTTTTTTATATATTTCAGGTGAATGAATACATGGTTTTTCATGTGAAAACTTCTGTTTATGTTCCAAAAATATTCTATCAGGTAAATTCAGATTTTCATCTTTCCTGAAATTCACTTTCATTTCCTTTTATTGAAATGAGTGTTAATATTGAAGTAAGTCGCTCAACAAAAAGATTACAGTAAAAAGTGAAATAAAATTAGGCCTTTTTGACTATTCTACTCATATGAAACAACTTTTAGCAATTCCAACATTCTCATGGTTTTTGACTAAAATACCTCACAAAAACCATGAGAATGTTTTTGTGAGGTATTTTAGTCAAAAACCAAACTGAATTATTGTAGAGTTTTTGTTTGAAGTTATCTTAAAACACAATATAACTTTGGCAATGAAATGAAGATATTTAAGACTTTGAAGAAAAATGCACATGCCTGGTGATATTGTTGCCTTATTCAGAACTGGAAAATGAATTTAACTTGCATGATGAACTTGAAATTTCCCCAGATTTTGAACTGAAAATTTAACCTAATCATTTTCTCACATCACCACCTACTTCATAAACAGAATGTACCTGATGTTATAGGTAAGATAGGGTTTTGGTATAATCAATGTCAGATTATGACCTTTTGGGGCCCCTAGGCTAATGAAATGATGTGGCACTCCTCAGACAAAGTCACTCTTTAACTCACGCCCAACTTGAATATTTTTTTTACTCATCATATATTTTAGTGACATTTACATCGTTTGAAGTCAACTTATTGCAAATTCTTTAAATAAACTGGAATAGATATCTTTTGTTTGTCAATAAAAATATTCTTTAAGAAATACTATGATTTTACTATTTATTGCAAACCAAATTAGCATATATTTCAACACAACCATAGTAACAAAAACAAATTTTTTTATAACCAGCATTATAACAATAAAACAGTCAAAATAAATATGAGTTTGTCATATTGATATCATTTCAGTTTATGAAACTATTTAGAAGTTGTAACATAGAGAATATTAAAATCACTGCTTTATAAAAATTTCTAATTTCTAAGTGGAGAACTTTCAGAGGGAAAATTAGCAGGAGATAACTGATAACTGACATCCATCAAACATGGCACGTGGAATTAGAACAGTCTACCCCAGCGATCGAAATAAAGGGTTCAGTTCGAAATTCCAACCACCTGAAGAAGGCCGGAGCGTACAACGGCCGAAACGTTGTGACAAATATGGCGACAAAGATGAGGACAATAGTCCGACTAATGTAAATACTGTACATAATACCTCATCTCAGAAATATAGACAAACTCCAAAAATTTCTAAGCTTAAAACATTCTGAACTAAAATCAAATGTGTTATCTACTCGAAACATAATGACGCAAACTAAAACAGATTTTGTTTTCTTTGACTTTGCAGGAAGAAGTTCTGCAAAATCGAATAATTATGAGTTTGTCATATTCATATCATTGCAGTTTATGAAACTATGTAGAAGTTATAACATCTAGAAAAGCTTGAGGGGCCCTGGGCTACAAGGATAATCCAGGTTTAGGCTCTAAATTCCAGCCTATACTAGCTAAAAGGATAATCCAGCCATGGGAACTAGGTTGCAGCCTATACTAATGAAAAGGATAATCTGGCTCTGTGTATAATCTTATTTATTCTTTAATTTTTGGATATTCTCAAAAGATAAATTTAAGACAAATTCTGGAATGTGTTTTAGGAATAAAAGTTGTCACATTGACTAAGAAACATTTTTTTAAAAATCTTGTTTTTCCAGGTGATAGCAAAAGGCAACATCATCATTGGTGATGAGCTTGAAATGGGTGCAAGTCGGCAGAAGACATTTTCTGTGGCATTGGCTCGCAGCATGGTACCCACTGCCCATATTGCTGTCTACTACATTCGTACAGCAGATCAAGAAGTTGTCATTGATGTCCTTAGTTTCTTTATTAATGGAACCTCGACAAATGAAGTGAGTATGATAAACATATCCATACTGCTCAGCTCAAGCTATGAGATATATATTTGTTGCCTGATGATCACATTGCAAGAAAGTGAGTAGCGATTTGAATTGACTCTGTTTGTGCAATGTTGTTGATTAGGTTTACTGCCCTTAGTCAATTTGATTTAGCCATTAAACACTTTGGATCATTGCATAGACAGCTGTCTTTTGATCAGTTTTTTCTTTTCACTTTTTGTCTTTTTTTTTTCTGTTTATTGCTTCTCAGTTCTTTTTTTTTTTTTTTTCTTTTCTTTTGTCGTTTCAAGTATTTTTGTTTGGCAGGCTTCATATTGTTGGAGTTGCATTGGCAGGTTTCTCCAATACTTTGGTTTGTTATATATATATATATAAGTAATAGAATTTGGGAGATTTAGGCTAATCATTATAGTAATTTATAGTCTAGAAGAATGCTCAACAAAATGCAGAAAGCAATGGGTGGCTGTTTCATACTATTTTGGAACTCGTCAGCAGTGTGCATCCACTACCAAGATTCAAACCCAAACTGTATAGACTCTATAGTGCCGATACTCACAAATTCCTTGGTGATACTCATCCAAGTATTCATAACCCAATGGATTGTGCTCCAAGACCCACGCCTTTCCTTTCTCCTGAGTCTATTTGGTTTCTTCTTTCGATCGAAAAGGTCCTGGTTCGAATCTCGGTAGTGGATGTGCACTGTTGATGAGTCCCAAAATAGGACAAAATGTCTGTCCAGTGCTTTCTGCATTCTGTTGAGGATTCTTCTAGACTCAATGACTTACTATATATATACATTGTGTGTATTTAAGCAGAATTTTTTCATTGATGCATGTTTCATTGAATAATATAGACAAGTTTTCTTTTCATATTGTCTGACAAGAATAATATTATTAAAAGAAGAAAGAAAATCACCATATTGATATGTTTTTTAATCCTATCTAAGCTTTCGGCTTACATAAGCCATTATCAAAGATGACAATTACATTACAATATATTAAACAATACATGGACAAAACAATAATGATAGTCTGTTTTTATTTACATGGAAGATTTCCAAGCAACAACAAACTCGTGCATATAAGATGCTGGAAGCGAAAATCGCACCACAGCTCATGACGTCACACATGACCACACGAGAGTGAAAACGAGAAGTATTAAGTATGGGAAGCCGTTGGTATAAACCAATGGCCTCTGTCACCATTTATAGACATTTAAGAATTTACTAAATGGTGTGTAAGTGCTATTGTATACAGTCTAAATGCTGCTGAATGTAGTCATGTATGACTAGTACATTGTAACTATGTTTATAATTAATCGTATTAATGGTTGGTTTCTTGCTTTTTCTAATAAGGGTTTCTGCCACTTTTAAATGCTTTTTGCAATAGGAGGTGCCTATCACATCCATGTTTTCAAATGAGTATGTCATGTATTGATGTTGGTGTGATTCCATCCTAGTTTCTCTGGTAGGAGAAATGTAGCATCAGTCATCTTGATAAGCAAGTGGTCATGTATCCAACATAATTATGAGTTTTTATTGAGATGGCATTTCTCTATGGAACATCTGAAATGTAAATCATAAGTAATGTTAGTTTGATATAGTTTTGATTTTTGCCAGTGAGATGTTATTTGTGATGGTTACAGTTTTTTATTGTAGACAATTAATTTTGATATTTTTAGTTTATCCAACAGGCATCGGATAAACTTTTTTTAATATTCCTTGAAGTGAATTCATTCTGTTTGTAATTTTATATATATATATATATATATATATATATATATATATATATATATATATATATATAATCTAGTTAAATTCCCAGATGAATTCTGTGGACAAGACAGATTGGTATCAAATGACAATTGGAAAATCATACATTTTTACTGACACGTTTCATCTTCCAACATTTTCAAGGCAAAAATGAAATTGAAGAAGTCGGAAGACGAAACGTGTCGGCAAAAATGTATGATTTTTTCCAATTGTCATTTGATACCAATCTGTCTTGTCCACAGAATTCATCTGGGAATTTAACTATATTGTCGACATTGGGGGAATAATAATAATAATCCCTTACTAGAAAGGTAATTTACATTAACCCAAAAAAAACAAAAAAGGCTCAGACACAAGTGTCTGTCTTTAAAATTTGGATTTTTAATGTAACTATAACAACAAAAACATTTCGATTTCATTTTTGCCTTGAAAAAGTCAGAAGATCTAAACGCGTCGGCAAAATGTATGATTTTTTTTCCAGTTGTCATTTGATACTATATATATATATATATATATATATATATATATATATATATATATATATATATATATATTATAATTTTTTTTAAAATTGTATTGAATATAATGTCAACAATTTAAAATCTGGAGGTTATCACCATTTGCTTAACATAGACCATTTTGATTGGTGGATCTGATTATAAGCAAAACAAATTTCACTGCTATCTCCTCCCATTTCTTTCCTACCTTTTTCCTTATTCTTCCTTGTCTCTGGAAAAGAGAATGTATCTTGTCTTTCTTTCTTACTTTTTTTTTTTTTTTTTTTTTTTTTTTGTGAAAAGAGGTTGTATGTGGTTTTTAGATTTGAAATTTCAAGTCTATTAACCAGTCATTTACTAACACCTGATGAGATGTGTTGGTACACATTGAAACATGATTGCATTTATGTAGCATTGACCTTCATGTTGATGTAATTCTTCTAAAATAAAGAATACAGCTCTACTTTTGTATTGAGCCCTGTTTTAAATTAATGTTACAAATGTTGAAATTTATTTTCAATTTGTTCTCATTTCATATATATTTTTATAATATAGTGATTAATATGAATATTAAAAAAAAAATAAGTGTCTGTATAGACAATTTTTTTACTGAATTTCTTTGTATTTTATCTTTTATTTATTTTTATTTTTCTGTAGGTGAAAATCTTTTTTAATCGAGGAAAGGATTTCACGCAAGACACTGTGGAGGTTAACGCTTATGCTGACCCTGGATCTTATGTGGCCCTGACGGCTGTTCCTTATGATTTGTACATTCGTGGAATGAGTTCTGGACTTAGCCAAAATATAGTAGGTATAGATGCAAAAAAGAATGTATAAACTCTGCAGTTCTTAGAATTATCCTTCTTTAAACTTTGTAACCTAGCACAGGTTTTTTTTTTTTTTTTTTAATCTGCAAACTACGCATTGTTATAATTATTCTTACGAAAGATTGTGGAGTTGTTTCATTGGTGACTTCTCCATGGGTTTGAATTCAGATTTATCTTTCTCCTACACTGGTTACCAGTCAATGCTACAGAGCTTAGTCTACCCTGCTATTTAACATGTAACTGGTGGGGAAAATAAATTGATTCATGCATTTCCTGATAGCATTAGGGCTTAGTGAACACAAAATGTCATGCCTTGTTGACACCATTTTGGACACTGTTGTTAGTTCATTTATATTATAGGTCAAATGTTTGTGGCCACAATCCAGATTAAATAGTAAGTTTCAGACCTTATCTGGTTTAATTAACTCTTAAGTTAGAATTCTGAAACTAATGTATGTTGTCCAGGTTTTTTAGAGATAGGGTTACCTAAAATTGTAAATCCATCAGTTCTAAGGTTACCAAGGTAGATTAAACAAAATGGTAAAATTTTCAGGAAACTTTGTGCTGTAGGGGCTACTTTAGTTATCATCATCATCATTATTATTATTATTATTGACCATTCAGGAAGAGAATGTCCTTGTGACCCAAAGTGAACTAGTAAATTAGTTTTGTAAAAGTGTTGTGGCCTGTTAGGGGCCAGAAAGAAAGACACAGAAAGAAGAAGGTAGATTTAACAAGTGTATTGAAATAACAGAACATATATACAAAATAAGAGTGTTATTAGTTGGCAGATAGAAGTGTCCCTCTGAACTGTCATGTTACACTGCATCCCGACTGCTTCCTTAGGAAGTCTTGCAGGTTAGTATTTATGAAGGAGGAAGAGTTCTTTCTAATGTAGATAGGTCACCATAATAAAAAGTCACACAAATTTTAATTTTTAATGAATTCTTCAAAATCCAGATGATGGCCTCAAACTTTTGGCTTGTCATGTATACCTCTGCCTCAAAGTGAAATATATATTCATTCATTGTGTCCTTTTTTACTCTTGACTTGTTTAAAGTTCCAAGGTGGGACATATCATGGAGATATATTCCATCTTGTAACATTAACTTTATTGGTCTTAGTTCTTGTTATATGATGTGAGTGCAGAAAAGTTCTCAACCTGACCAAGAAACCATCATAAAAGACTTGTCAGATTTTGGAAAAGAGTCCTGGACTAGAATTTTTAGTAACTCTTTGTAGGTTCATAATCTAACACCATTTCCAAAATCTGGCCAAATGCGCACAAAATCTGATTTTTGTCTGTAGATTTTTTATCAAGTTGAGAACTCACCTTGTGTCTGTGTACTGTACACACACACACACACACACACACACACATATATATATATATATATATATATATATATATATATATATATATATATATATATATAAAATATGACAAAGTGGGTGGAGGAAATTTGTGATGTGTTTTGTCCTTTCAGACATCACATGAAACCTTTTCATAGTTTCCTCCAATTTCTTGATTTTTATATATATATATATATATATATATATATATATGTGCACATGGGGGTTAATGAAAACTTCTTGGCCAGACTTATGCCCTCAAATCTGATAAAATGACCAAATATAAGATTTTTATTTTATTTTGTAAGCCCATTTTTTTTTTCTCTGCCTAAAATGTCTGCAATTACTGATTATTTTTCCTCCATTTATTTTGCTTTACAGTTAATAGATGAACTCTACACCTACAATGCTCCTGCTAACACCAGCTATCGACATTTGTGGCGAATCAGTGAAGCTGAATATGAATACAAGTTTTTCTCTGCTAATGGATATGGCATGGATGCTAAATCTACATTCTTTGTAATTATTTTTTTTTTTTCTTTTTTTAACTTCATGTCTATTTTGTATGAACATTTCCTCTTCATGACAATTCGTTGTAACTGCAGATTTAAAAAAAAAATTGTGATTCATTTTACTGAAACAAGCTAATGACACAACTTAAAGTGTGTAAATTCATAAATAATTTCCTTCTCTTGTTTGGTTAAAATTACCCACATGTTACCTCATGATTTATTATCCATCATTAATATCTTTGGTGAAGGTAAGCCAACTGTTCATTTTAACCCCAAAGTCTCCCACCCTATAATGTTCAATTTTTAGGTGATTCTTCAAAATCCAGAGCATGGCCCCAAACTTTTGGCCTATCAGGTATAACTCCATATCAAAGTAAAATATATATTCATAGGAGTTACAAGTTTCATTTCATTGAATCTTTTTAGCCTTGACTTGTTTAAAGTTCCTCACTTTACACACAGACAACCAAAATTTAAAGTTCCTTGAATATTTGTTACAAAATGTCTGATTTAAAACCTTTTTCTTTTACACAATTTTTACTTTGATTTTTTTTCTTTTCTAGAGTGCAGGTCTCCTTGTATTGACGGATGCAAATATTACTCGTTTACTTCCTCGTGAGTATGAAATTTTCAATAAAAAAATGTGTTTGCTTTACCAAATTTAATATTTAAAATAGATTTTTAATATATGAAATTTAAGAAAAACAAAACAAATGGATACTGAAAAGTCTTCAGTCTGACTTCCTAAAATCTAATGAAATTGTCAAACAAGATTTTTTAAATGTTATATTTTAGTGAAAAGATGTGTTTAAATAAACAAAACTTTTTATTCTCTTTTTGGAAGGGTTTCTTAGTCAGGCTGGCAGCTTTTAGAATCTCCAATAATATATATATATATATATATATATATATATATATATATATATAATATTAGTGATCTGTATGGATATAAATCCAGAGAGTGCTTTATGTCAGACAGAGCAATAATTATTATTATAAAAGGCATGAACACTTAGAATTTCATGAGGTTATATTTATTTCTTTAGGGTTGTAAAAATGGCCCCAATTCATTAGACCTTCAAATTCAAAAGGAAACAGAAAATATTTCTCCAGGTTTAAATAACAAAATTTATGTAAAATTATCTTCTGTTTCACAATCTCACATACACTTTTTTCCTGTCTTTCTTTCCACCTCTCTCTCTCAATCATACATATGCATATTTCTTTCTGCCTCACCCCACTCTACTTCTACATATACACTTTTACATAAATTTTGTATTAGATTGTAGACTAAATCATTGCATGAAACTGGCAATTGAAAATGCATTTGAAAAAAGATTTTAAGTGTAAATTCAAAAATCTGCCTGGATCCTTCCACAGTTAAGATTTTGACACATATGGATTCAACTTAAAAAATCTGTTTATAATTTATATTAAAAATAGTGTTTGGCTAAGAACATTTAAAAAAATAATCAGAACCTAGCTAAAGATTTCAATTTAACTGTAAAAAAAGATCTTTTTTATATATATATATATATATATATATATTTGCTCTCTTTCAATGGATCTATATCCTCTTGGAAATTTCCATATGGATTACCAATAATTTTATTAATAATTTATATATATATATATATATATATATATATATATATATATATATATATATATATATATAATATTTTTTTGGTGATTTTATCATTGCAGGAAAATAAGGTGGAAATTAATTATTTTATTCAGAATACTGTACACATATATCATAACTACTGTAATAGATAATGGTTATTTGCGGTTTATATTGTGATTATTTCGACTTAAGTCGTGACCTCTGGAACCAGTTAACATTTTAGGGTGAGGTATACTTGTATAGGCATTGGAATTATATATATATATATATATATATCTCTCTCTATATATATATATATATATATAAACAACAATGAAAAGTAATAATTATAATAATGATTAGAATAATTATAAAAATACAAAAATATATATATAATAATTAAAAAACTAAACAATGTAAAAACAATTATATTGGAAATGATGCATTTCTGGGTGCATGTGGGGGTGTGAACATACACATGTCTGTTGCATATTGGAAACATCCTCTTGAACAGAGTTCTGGGTGTGCAAGTAAATATCAACATGCAAGTATCACTAACAGACAAAGAAAAAAAAATATACAAAAAAAAGACATTTCAAAAAATGTTTTAACCCTTGAGGAGTGGACCATAAAGAGGTTGTCCATTACAAATTAGTTTTTATTTTTCTCTGTTCATTAGAATGGGTATTAAATCAAAATAACCCTTACACTCTTAATTTCAAATTATTTTGATTTTTTTTTTTTTTTTTTTTTTGTTAAAATCAGTTCTTAGGAAGATATTCATTTTAATTTTACGTAATTACAGCAACAACAGAAATTAACAGTGACATTTGTTCTGGAAGAAGAACAAACTTTTGATAGAAACATGCTTATTGGAATGGGTGGAGAATCAACAGATTGTTTAATAAATGCAACATTGAAAACAAAAAAACCTGATCCATGAATCTGCGTAGTCGTGTGAAAAATAATACAAAAATTCACATTAATTTACAGTAAATAAATTTTCCTATTTTAAAATATTTTATATATATATATATATTTGTAGGTCTGATGAATTGGATCGTATTACGATTCCAATGGAATAAATTATGACCATGGAATATTAGTGTTTAAGCCTTTATTATATATATATATATATATATATATATATATATATATATATATATATATATATATATATATATAAAATTTATTTGAAAATTATAACAAATATATTATAAAATCACTACAAAATAGCTATTTTGTTTCAACACTTCTGGTGTTTATCAAGTGATGGTGTTGATAAGACACCAGAAGTGTTGAAACAAAATGTCTATTTTTATAGTGATTTTATAACATATTTATGTTATAATTTTCGAATAAATTATATTTGCTCTACTCTGTATTGAGCACTCTCTTAAGAATAGTATTTGTTGGTTATTGGAATTTATTCCATATACACCAATACTATACTTGGATAGATATACATAATTTTTTTAAAGTAATGATAATAATGATGATATGGTATGCATGATATTAATAATATAGTACAATTAGAGATAACTTTTAGATGTATACATAAAATAATCTTTGAGTAAATGTTGGTAAAAAATGAAAATACTTTTGATACAACCTAATATATAATAATAATGGCATAATAGTTTTCTAGATGTGTATATGAAATAAGCTTTGGATTACATGAATACACATTTGATATATAATATGTATGAACACACCCACATAAACAGAGCAAAACCCCATTTATAAATTTTGTTGATTTAAGAGATATTTGCATGTCATTTATAAGGTTGAAATATTTATAAGCTGAATTGGATTTAGACTCCATTACAATCTGCTCTTAAAGATGAAGACAAAATATTAGAATAAAAAGAATAACAAAAATTTCCACTAAAATTAATGATGTTGAGATCTTCTCATAATATCATTATTTAATGTTTATATTTCTTTTTCAGCTCTGTGTTCAGACCCTAATATGAAAAACCCTTGTTTCAAAAGTGGTTGTTATTCAGATCAACAACGTTGCAATGGTGTTTTCGATTGTATAGATGGAGCTGATGAATATGGATGTAAGTAATTTATTGATATATTTAATACTATTATTTTGCCTCTGATAATTTTTAATCTATATGTATTTCAGCTTTTGGAAATTTTAACCCAAAATGGGGCGGGTAGACATTAATGGGTCATAAGTCAAGACCTATAATTAATACAAGATTTTTTATAAATCTGTAATTAATGCTGGATTTTTATTTTTATAATTAACTAGGAGTAGAGCCCGGTGTTGCCCGGGATGTAACAGTAAGAGATAGATCAAGTATCGACCATCATAAAAACTGAAAAATAAAATTGACAAAGATTATTGTTTAAGGTTGATGGACACGCATGTCTTAATTAGTTTTTTTTTTTTTTTTTTTTTTTTTTATGAATTGGTCAAACCCAAACTCAAACAAAAACATTGTTTTCAATCGTTATGAGTCTACCGATTGAATAGAATTTTTCAATTTTATTATAAACAATTGTCCTGTAAATGGAATTTTTAAAGCATTCTGAATGTAAAAATAATGAAAAAAGTGTGCAAGACAATAAGAAACACTAGCAGCCAAAAAAAAAAGTGAAGTTTTGTTGAAATCAGTTGAAAAATGTAGGAAATCTGATCCCATATATAAACGAACACACACACACACACACACACAAACTGGGTTTTATAAGTATACTCGATATGAGTTGTCCCCCTTTCATTCTCGAAACAGTGATGCCTCTTAATCGTGTTTTCAAATTGATTTCATGCAAAAACAATTGTTTTTCCAATTTTTGGCACTGTCAGAACCACCGCAAGGTAATTTTACGTAGTCCTGTGAAGTTTTGTTGAAATCGGTTGAAAAATGTAGGAAATTCGATCCAATATATAAACGAACAGACACACACACAACCTGGGTTTTATAATAAGTATGATGTTTCATTAATGGGTTAAAATTTTATTTAATGTCTTGAAATGTTCCACAAAAAATGAAAAGATAAAAAAAATGGGATTGAAAATTCAAATTCCTTGTTGAGGGGGAGAGCAACAAATTCATACAGAACAAGGCTGACAAAATAGAATTCAGCATTTTTAAAAGGAATAAATTTCAACATGTGGAGGAATTTAACATGTATATTTTTTACATAAAGTGTAAAAATAGAAGAGAGAAAATATACATGGATAACTGAAACAAAGCAATCACTATTTATAGGCTTTGCTGTTGAATAATGTGTGTATGTGAATTAAAATTTAGTAGTTGACTTCCTGTGGAAAAGAAATTTCTCCAAGTTGGGGACAAGACACAAGCTAATTATGCTACATTTTGGAGCAAAAGAAGTGTTAATTTTTACTGTCCTTTTATAGTCCTAAAATGGTGCCACTTAGTGGTTGTCATGGCAACCAAAGGGGAGGTAATCCCTGCATCAGCTTTATTAATTTATGCTAATGTCTCAAAGAAGATATAATTTTTTCTTTATAGATTTAATGTCGTTGAGCAATAACCTATTTGTTGATTTCATTTTGACATGAATTGATTTTTAAAAATGCAATATTAAACTGGTTTCTCTACTGGCCTTCCTTATATATTAAAATTGCATGAGGCATTTTAAGATAAAAATAATGAAAAAAAACAACAAACTTAAAAATCACTAAAAATTTGTAATTATTTATTTATTGTGATAAAATAAATTGTTAAAATATTGCTCATGTTTTGGGGACTTTTGCTGGTGGTGATTGCTTGACTTAAAAAAAACTGATTGTCTTTAACTAACACTTGAGAATGTTTGCTAAAATCCTGACAGAACATTTCAAGAATCTTGATAGTAGATTTTGCTGATAGCATGTTGCTGGTATTTGTTAGCCATTGTAAAGATCACAGAGCCATTCCAAACGTAATGTTACATAAACTTGTCCTAATCAAGTAGATAGCATGAAGCCTGTTTATATTTCTAAGGTGATATATTGTAATCATTTACATTATTTATATTGTTCAGACTGTTGTCCTCATTTTTATTGTCATATTCCCAATGTTTTGGCAGTTGTACACTTTGGTCTTTTTCAGGTGATTAGAATTTTGAACTGAACCCTTTATTTCATCCACCAGGGTAGATTGTTCTAGTTTCACATGCCATGCCTCTTCTGGAAGTCAACTCAACTTTAATTCAACTCTCCAAGTTTTTTGTTCACCACTGCTGTAGTCAGGTATTGTACTCGTAACTCTTTGGGTCAAGTCACCAATGTTTTTATTCACTGGGCCTTTTATCCAAGCACACATGACCCAGTGGATAAAAGCGTTGGTTGGATCCAATGACTTGACCTAAAGAATTGTGAGTTTAATACCTGCTTACAGCAGAGGTAAATAAAAACTTTGTGAGTTAAGTTAAAGGGAGATAACTGAGAGATCCAGAACTAACGTAACTGGTTTTGTGCCACAAGTGGTCCTCCATCTAAGTATTGATCATGCTTGTCACTGCTTAACTTAGTTTACCAAATGTAAATTTGACATAACATTATTGACTTCTTTTTAATGAATATGTTTTTCTTTACATTTAGGTCCAAAAAGGCATGAAATCAAGTTAATTACCAACATTCATCGTGTCAGTCGGGTTCAGCGATTTTACGATGACAGTTCATGGCTCTGGCAAGAATATTTTGTTAAGTAAGTATTGATGATATTATAAGAGGGAGATGGGGGTGTGATCAGCTCCTTGTGACTGCACTCAATTACAACAGGTTTGCTGCACCAGATATAACTGGGTGGATTGGGTAATTTGTCTGTATCAACTGATTGTCAGGTGCCAACAACTTTGTAGATTTCTCTGTCCCAGTTCACTTGAACTGAGGTTAAACCTTTCCCTGTTCCACCTGTCTGTTTGTTGGCAATTGTCAGTAGTTGGATTCAAATTCTGTTGTGTCCCCGTAAAAAAAATCAATAAAATCAATCTCCTGCAGAGTGTGGTAACTCTTCAATTCTGATGGTCTGCCTGAGGGGAAGAATGGTTCTTTGATAAATGAACCAAATGTGTTTTGTAAACTTAACAGAATTTAATGTAAAGAAAAAAAAAAAAGTCTACAGAATTTAACTTCTGCTGAATGATGCTTGTGTTTATTAAATTTATTATTCATTTGCCCCCCCACTTTTTTTATTTTTTTTTTTTTTTTTTTTTTTTTTTTTTTTACTTTAGTTAATTTTGACATAATTTAGAAGTGTTTTAGATTGTTGTCTTGCTGAAAAGTGAATTTTTTTTCCCAATTATGCGGAAACCAGATGGTATAGTATGTCTTTGCAGAATCAAAAGACCTTGTACTTTTTTCGTTTGTATTTTATCAGTCAAGCAGTAGTTGTTGATTTTGCATACTGAGAGCTGGTCTACCCTTACTGCTTGGACATTTATATAGTCTCTGTGCCTTAACTATGCTAATTAAGCAGTCATTTACATATCACATCTCTCTAAGACACAGGTGTCTTATAATCTGGCTACTTTTGTCACTACTTCTGATTCTTAATTCATTTTGGGGATTTCTTTGATATCCACTATCTCCCGAGATATCAAGAGATTTCGACCTGTCTCACATTGTCTCGTATTCAGGATGGTCTTCTTTTATTCATCAACTCTTCTGAAGTTTCAGAATATTCATTCTAGGTATCTCTATCTTTCATATGTTCATCTTCAGATATTTCATCCTTTAAAGGTGGATTTCCTTTTTGTTTTACAAAACCATTTGAAATATCAGTAGACATTTATTCATTATTTTTCTCTCCACTTTCTTTATTGTTTCTTGGTTCTAGCTCTTGTCACAAAAAAATCTAAGCCATGCTTCAACAGAGTCAGGTTCTTCAAGGGATAATGTATATCCTATTGGTGATGACATTGTTATAAAATATGGTTTCTTTCATATTTTAACAAGCCAGCTGTAGTCATTTATCTTGCATACCAAGAGCTGCCCTACCCTCACTTCTTGGGCACCTATATAGTCTCCGTGCCTTAGCTGTGCTAATTAGGCAGTCATTTACATATCACTACATCTCCCTAAAACACAGGAATCTTATGAATCTGGTACTTCGGTCACTTCTTCTGATCCTTAATTCATTTTCGGGGTTTCTTTGATATGCACTATCTACCAAGATAGTAATGGAGGTCTTGACCTGTTTTGCCTTTTCTTGTATTCAGAATAGTCTTCTTTATTCATTGACTCTTCTAAGCTTAATTTAGCAGAATATCATCAGCATGGTGCAACCAGTAAGTATCAAACTCATTGCTTAGTAATAATGATCAACATTTTACTGGTATTTTGCATGTGGCTCTTGCAAACCTTTTTGGTTCAAACAGGCTTTGCTGAAAATTTTAAAACCAACTGTTTTTTTATTAACATATCTGTGTGTGTGTGTTTTAGTTTTCATGATTTTTAATTCTTTAAATTCTCCTTTGATGTTGAAATTGATGGTACTTATTTTGGTTCAGATTAACTTCCTGTAATCTCTTGCACTGACTCCCATGTTCAGAAATGCATAAAAAGGTAAGCAATGGATGTTTGTGTAAAATTTCAAATTTCCTTTGCCTTTTGCACAGCATGGACAATTCTCTTTTTTTTTTCATCCAAATCAGTTTGCACCTTTTATAAATCTACCATTTGTCAGTGCATCGACTGTTGTTACCATATCAGGTTTGGTGCTTCTGCTATGTATCTACAGATTCTTGACAAAATCTATTTCATTACCTATGGGATGAAAATGGATTTGGACATGTCTCACATGTAAAATACTACCAAAAAGAAAATGGAAACTTTATGAGTCATATATTTAAAACGGATCTCAGCATCAGATAGACTTTCACAAGAATCTCTTTTTTTAACATATGCAAAGTTTAACTGTCAACAGTTAAAAAGGCAACAGACTGAAGTGCAACTGCTGTGGTGAACAGAAAACACGTATTGTTTAACTTGCGCTACTCTGTTGAAGGAAATGGACTAGGGAATTACAATTTATTACAAGCCAGAAGAAACGGACTATAAAATCTAAAGAAGAATCTGCAATATTATTGGTCCTGACTGACATCTCGGCCTCAATCACTTTCCAATTGACATAATGTAGCTTCCTTGTATATTTTTCATGGTAATCATTCTGATGAGCTTTCCTCTTTAGTAAATCCTCTTCATAAATCTAAGCTTAGTACTAAATTAGCTGTTAGGTGTCTTATCATTTTACAATTGAAATTGCCAAGTGTAACCTATTCTAATATATTGTTCTCTTGCACTTCTTACCCATGGAACTCTCTTCCAACTTTCCTGTCAACTAGGATCTCCAAAAATTTAAATGCAACATTAATCATCCTTTGTCTCCTTGAATCCTGTTCTTTTTATTGTACTCTTGTTTCTTTCACTCTCATTAACATCTTGCATCCTAGTGGCTTTTATTCCCTTGCTTGGGGTGAAATGATTAAAAAAAAAATTGGCAAACCTCTTTAAAAAAAAATATTTATTTCATAATCAGAATACTGACACAATTTTAAACTTGAGTCATAAAAAAAAAAATTAAACTGTTTTAACATTTTCTCATTTTACTTCATTCTGTTGACTTTTATCCTCAGTAACTCCTTGTCATAGGGGCTTTATCACCTTGCTTGGAGTGAAGTGATCCTAAAAAGTAGTTCTATTTTCATAAAGTTTTTATTTTTTATTTATTTTTTTTTTAATTTGTTTATAAATTTATAAATAAATGTCCATAATTAAAAATGGAAATGATTTTATTTTCTGTATTATTAAAATATATTGTGTTCTGTTCATAAATTATCACGATGTCAGGAAATTTCTCTGTCTTACTTAAAACTGTCCTGGGTATGATGATAAACTACATCTAGCAGAAAGGTTTCTGATTGGGTGATTTTGAGGAACATGGAACCACTTCTTAATTGCTGTTCTTCCTAGGCCCACTTTGAGCTGGGGTGGCAGCACCTGTTAGGGTCCTATATATGGGAAAATAGTTAACCCTGTCAAACTGTGGTTAAAACAATATGAAAGTATAAATATTTTTATAGTAAAAAAAAAAAAATTACCAATAATACATTTCTGTAAAAGAAATTACTAATGTTTCCAAGAAAATTAAATTTTGGCATTAAACGAACCATAAGGAGTTGATATAGTGCTTAACAAACAAACAAATTTACTTATAAAAATTTCTTTTCTCTTGTTTTCAGAGCTGATGGACGAATTGACTTCAGTGTGAAAACGCCCAAATATCCTCTTACTTGGGTGGTCCATGGTATTTCTCTCAGCCGGGAACTCGGTTTGGGAATTACACCTTTCCCAGTCATGGTAAGTTCCTGAGTTTTGACAGAAACGAGCAGAATCTTGCAACCAACAAATATTTTGATTCTTGGGACATTGTTTATTCTACTACATTTGGATTTGTATTAGACAGTAAATGTACAAACTTGTTTGTTACAAACATTATTATGCAGGAATAGGTATAAATGAACTTTTATTAATTTCTGGTGGGTATTTCTTTCAACTTAATTTCAATTGCTTTTTATTGAAATTGTTATAGACAAGCATATGGTTGCAAAAAAGAAATACGACAACAGTAGAAATAGATTTACATGATTTATTTCAATAGGGACGTGTGGTTTTGGGACAGCTACCTTGTGGTATAGTTCATAAGCTGGCTGAAGATCTGGGTTGATCTCTCATAGTAGTTCTCGCTGGTTGGCGTGTCGCTACTGCTGCTGGCTGCTGCTGACCACTCAACCTGACCGTGACAGGTCTCTTCCCTGGCCTCCTGTTGACTGCCGTTGTACTTCCATGTGACCCCTTTTATGGTGGTTTTTTTTTTTTGTGGCTTAACAGGCTCGAAAAACAACGAGTATAATTAGGAGGGAAGCATTTTTATTGGTCGAAAAATAGAAACATTTTAAAATATTATTTTATTTTTCAACCAGAACTTGTGCGTCGGGAACATGTGTAAATGAAGATAATGGTCATTTTGTGACGGGGCTTTGTCCTGTTCACATCCGGCTCTTGCTCTTGAGTATGTTAGTTTATTTGCCTGTAAATCAGCTGAGATATGTCTTATTTTATTTTATAACAAAATTATCAAGACTGTCATTTTGCAGTCAACTGTAATGATACAGATTAAAAGTAAGCTTTTCATAAGATTTGAACTTTTTTTTTTCTTTTTCTGAGGGAGCCTATTTAAGCATTTACACAATTTACATGTTTCAGCAGTTGTATATTCTGGCTTTATTCAGGTGATTTCGAAAGGTGAGGTATTGTCTGGTGAATGTTGGCTTGTGGTATACGGATGTCTTGAATCCATGCCCTGTTTGAGATATTAGTACATCCAAGAATGCTAGTTTGTTGTTTTATTTCTCCATTGTGAAGTGTATTAATGGTCTTATCGAGTTCGCATGGTCCAGTTGTAGTTGGACATCTAAATCTGACAATTTTTTTACCATTTGGGCTCAGAAAATCAATTATTGCAGAGATTGATTTGAAACATAAGAACTATATTCCTTATTTTTGTGGTTCTCCAGAAATATGTTGGGAATGCCATGGATGGAACATGGGAACAATAAGGAAATTTTAAAGAAAATCGAGACAAAAAGGGGAACTGATGCTTAGAAGTAGAAAAAACAACGGTTGAAATTTCTGGGTTACATAATGAAGTAACAAGGGCTTGGAGAATTTGATCCTCTCAAGAAGACCAGAGACAATGGGGGGAAACAACAAGGAAACTACCCAATGGACTTGTGTCAATGGATGGCAGAATATGGAATATTTAAAAATTTGTATACAAGTATAAAAAAAAAAAATCTATAAAAAATGATAAGTCTGAACAAATGTTGCTTGTCTTGAGAAAATGGTTATACTGTTAATCAATTCATGAAAATGAATGAAATGAAGCCAAATGACATGCAATTGAAATATCATATTATGCACATTTCAGTTGCATGCTATTCATGACTTTTAAGCATAACTTAAAGACATACTTTTGAAAGTGTTGAAAATATTGGAAGAGTTTTGTCAATCATTTTTTTATTATTACTACTACTATTATTATTACTATTATTATTATTATTATTATCAGTTAAGAGAAAAGTGCAATTTAAAAAGAAAAGCCAAAACACAGTGTTTGACAATGTTAAATGAAATCTTAATAGTATGTCTATACTCGTCAAGTTATATTTAAAAAAATGTATAATGAACGTGTCAAAACAGATGAAATGCTACCAGTGTGAAGTTAAGCAACGGAAACATGCTTAATATGATGGTGATCTTGTTCGTCTTGAAATTTTCTGTTAGTTGATTAGTTAGTAAGAGGGAGGAATTAATCAAACAGCTTAGTATAGATCTTATGGAACTCTCCTGTTATTCTGTTCATATCCCTGGGGTGGGAAGTCAGTAATTTGTGTATGTAACTATCTTCATGCATTTTAAGTGTTGAAAGGTCAGTAGATTCTGAATATTTTTTCTGAATGTACACTTTAAGAGGCTTGTTGAAATTACAGTCGTTTGTAATAAAATGTTCTGCAAGCTTCAGCAATGTTACACTGTTGTGTGTGATATCATACCTGTGTCCATTGAATCTTCTTTAATTTTTAAAAGTATTTTCCCAGATGATTGAAATTTTTAAAATTTACTCTGTAATAGAAATGAGGAGGGGGTATTTTTTTTTTTTTTTTTTGTAAAGTTCTGAAAGAAAACATCTATTCTTCCTTGGAATGAGGGTGGATAATTAAATATTATAACTGGATAATTAAATATTACAATTTTTCAATCCATCATTTATTTCAGTATGATGCAGCACGTTTCATGTACATTCAAGTAGAAGCACCCACGTTTATTGTCAGAGGAGAACAGGTTGGTTTTAGGGTGACAGTCTTCAGTTACTGGTACATTGATGACTTCATTGAGGTAAGTTCTTTTTTTTTTTTTTTTTGTCGGGGGGTAGGGGACAATATATTGACATTATTTGAATTCTTGTAGACAATCTTGATATATCTGGTTTTAAATTGAGTACATCATTTTCGTTTTGGTGACTTTAAATTCTGAGGGTATCCTTCTGGAAATTTCTGAACAAATCAACTTCAGTATATAACTGAATTGTGAGTTCAGTCATAGCCACTTGGCTGCACCAACAATTTATTCCACCAGGTGACAAATATTATTCATAACTACATTTATTAGTTATGAGTAAATAAATTCATAGGTTATATTTTCATCTGGGTATCTATTTAGCTCTTGGTATAAACAATTGATTTCATATCAAAATGTTTAAACTGACAAATCGACCATGGTGAGATTCGAACCCAGGTCTCATGATCAGAAAGTGAACATTCTAACCACTTGGCCATGCTCTCTTAATAGGTTGAAAGAATAGCAAGTTTGCCATAACAGCTACTCTTTATAATATCATTTTCACATAAATGAAATTACAAAAGAACATAATAAATATTAATTAATAAATAATTTAAATATCAGCTTAATTGGTCTGAAGGCAATTCTTTTAATTAAGATTAAAGGGCCTCTGATTGGCGGGTGGGGTGGTGAGCATGGAACCACCCCTTAATTGCTGTTGTTCCCCATGACCTGGAGTGGTAGCACCTGATAGGGTCCCAGCTATAGGCAAATAGTAAAAATACCATTAATAGATTTTAATAGTAAAAAAAAATTTCCAAAGCTTCCAAGAAAATTAAATTTCAGCATTAAATGACCCATAAGGTGATAAAGCATCACAGAAAGTAGGCAAAAAGAACAATGTTTAAAGATCAAAATTCTTTGTTCAGAATTGTCCCAAGGGATAACTAGTTTAAAGTGTTGGTTGTGAATTTGGTGATATAGTAGTTGTGGGTTCAATCCCGAGGTTGGTTAGTACACTCAGTGGAATCAGGGCAAATAAAAACTAAACAGTAATTTAAAAAAAAAAAAAAAAAAAAATAACATGGGACAAGATGAGTTATATCACTTAAACATGAACAGTGAAATAAGAATAATTTACCCTTGTAGATTAAATAAAGAGTGCAGTTTGAAACTTCCTGAAATTTACTCAAATTGATAAATACCTGAAGAAGGCTAGTGTGCACAAATACCAAAATGTTGTAATAATAACAAAGATGAGGACATTAGTCTGAATGTGAATAATACACAGAGTCCTTTGATTTTTTTTTTTTTTTTCTCTCTTTCCTTATTTTATTTGCCTGATTTTCTTTGCCATTAAAGCAATGTTTGACAGTTTTTCCCTTGACACTGCTATTATTTTAACTACCTTCACTCCTTGACAATGTTTGTTTTTAAAAAACGTTGATTAGGATTTTAATAAAACATGAAAGTGAATTTATACATTTTTCTTTCTTTCTTGAGAATTTTGCAGCAAAAATATTAAACAATAATTATTTATTAGATTATTTATAAGAATAATTTTATATTTAAAACATTCTAAAAACTAATACAATTAAAACTAATACAATGCAATATTTATCATTTACCAATTTATGAAGAAATACAAAAGCATTTACTAAATTATTAAAATATGTGAACCAACTATATGAAAATCCTTATTATTTACCATTTTATAAAGTTTGAATCAATTGGCAATTAGCCAATGTTTTGCTAACCATTCCAACAATGTAATAGTGTAAATAAACAATCTAATAAACTGTACAGTATTTACATTAGTATTACTATTGTCCTCATCTTTGTCACCATATTTGTCACGTTTCGGCCATTGTACGCTCCGGCCTTCTTCAGGTGGTTGGAATTTCAAACTGAACCCTTTATTTCGATCACTGGGGTAGACTGTTCTAGTTCCATGTGCCATGTTTGATGGATGTCAGTTATCAGTTATCTCCTGCTAATTTTCCCTCTGAAAGTTCTCCACTGCCTTAACCGAAATGTTGTGACAAATATGGCGACACAGATGAGGACAATAGTCCGACTAATATAAATACTGTACATAATACCTCATCTCAGAAATATAGACAGACTCTAATAAACTGTTTATTATTTTTTTTGTAAATTCTCAAGAACAAAGAAAATGTATAAATTCCCTTTCATCATATGTTTAGGTTTTATTACAATTCTACTCCTTGCTTTTTAAAACAATAAACATTGCTGAGGAGTGAAGGTAGTTAAAATAATAGTGGTGTCAAGAGAAAAACTGTCCTTTTGACTAAGTGTGTTTTTGTTTTGTTTTGAGGTGAGGGGGATTATGGTTAAAATTGCCAAAAGTTTAATAGATGTGTTTAGTTCATAGCATAAATTATTGAGTATCTTTAATGTAGCTGTGGTGATTAATGTCAATCGGTAGTGGGCAGAGGGTGTGACTGCCCCACGGCATCCATATTGGGTGAGCATCCAATCAAAGAGTGAAATAAAAATTTCATTTATGAAATTTGAAATAAAGTGTTTTTCATTTTCCATCTTTTTTTTTTTTTTTACATATTTGTCTTTCTTTCTCACATTTTTCTGTACTAGGCTTTATAGGCTCAACACCTACTCAAGTCTTAGGAGTATATAATCAAGGAATTCGCCCCGGACATCACCAAACCTCTTCACACGATATTAATACTAATTACACTATTTACATTGTTCAGACTGTTGTGCTTATCTTTATTGTCACATTCACAATGTTTCAGTCATTGTACTCTCAGGCCTTCTTTAGGTGATATTTGTTTAAATCTTGAATCGAACACAGAATAATCAATCTGTATGTTGGTGTTTCTGAAGATTGGTTCGATGATGTTTGTGCAGATGTTCTTTACATGTTTATTTCATGAAATAGGCTGACCTATAACCTTCACATTCCTGGGTCACTCAGTAAAGTCACTGAGACTCTGTTGCATTTCCTCCACCCACCATTTGCAAATATCATGACAGGGATTGTCAAAGGTCAAGTTCTTTTCCCATAGTTTGTTGTTGCCCTGCCATTCATAGGTGAGAATTGCAGTTCCTATGCAAAAGCCGTCAACATTTTGTTTCTTTTGCATGTTAGTGTATAATGTGTACAATGTGCACGCTGTAGATGTTTTCGAAATTGGCATAACTATTGCAAAGAATGCAGTCTGTATTAATTGATTTGCTGAGAGTTGGTGGAAAAAATTGAATTTTCTTCAAATGGAGCTGTTTTCTGTTGCTTTTATTCCTACTTGACTACACAAATGTCATTGTCAATGTAAATAGTGTAAACAATTCCAAGACCCCATCTCAGAAATATAGACAAATATCAATACTATTTATATTTCTATCTTCCTATTTATATCATTTGTCATTCTTTTAGTAAATACTTCTAAATTGTCTTTATTTTCTTCATTTTTTATTTTTTATTTTGCAGGTCTTAGTGACTGCTCATGCATCTCCATATCATAAGTTTGTTTTAGTTGGCGATTTGGGAATTGTTCAGTCATATAATCCAGAATTGGCAGATGGTGATATGCAAACGCTTCTCTTTGTGAGTATTACTTCATTGAGGGATTTTAATTTTTTTTTTTTTTTTTTTTAATTCTTTAAGAAAATTGCTTTTTTTTAGTTTTAAAAAATTATTATAGCAGAATGGGAGATTAATTTGTTTGATGGAATGTATGCTCCTTTGCAATTGTTTTATACATGCATTATTTTATGGCTTAATTTTAACTGTTTCTTTTTTATTCTAAATATAAGTTTGTTTTTTTTCTCATCTTTTTAAAAACTTCTTCATCACACATGCCTCTTGCCCCATCCTGGGCATGACAATAAACTACATCTGCGTCCTGTGTATGATGATAAACTATGTCCAACAGCAAGGCCTCTGATCAGGTGGCTTTGAGGAGTGTGGAACCACCTCTTAATTGCTGGTGTTCCCAGGTCCACCCAGACCTGGAGTGGTAGCACCTGTTAGGGTCCCAACTATAGGTAAATAGTTAACCCCCAAAACTGAGGTCAAAACGCAATGAAAGTGTAAAAATAGGTTTTAATACAAGAAATACTTTGTAAAAAATTATTACCAGCAATACATCTAAAAAAAAAAAAAAAAATTACCAGCAATAAAAATCTTGTCGGCATTAAATAACCTATTGAGGTTGATATGCCATAAAACAAATCAAAGCAAACCAACATGCCTCTTGCTACTCTCTTGCTATTTCCATGGCTAATGCACTGACTAGCAACATTCCTTAGTTCCTCAAATTCTGACTTTTCACAGATAAAATTCCCACCCTGCCTCCTACACTGGAAAGAATTGTCCTTCATTCCTTTTGTATTCTGTTAGTAAAAAGGAAGTTCCATTCGGACAGTTTCGTCTCCGGAAACTGCTACTTTATGGAATAAACTCCCGAAAGGATGCTTCCTTAATCACAACAATCTTAACCTCTTCAAGTCTAGGATTAATTGTTATCTTATATATTGTTGTAACCTTGGGAAGGTCACTGAATAGAATAATCAAAGGTTGGTAATAAACGATAATACTTAGGACAAGAACAACACACATAAGATTCGCCAATGGCGCGTAGAAGTAGTAATCAACTGCTAGAAGTAAGTTAAGTGAATCCTACAATGAATCTCCAACTGCAGGATATCTACCAACTGCCCTATGAGGTCAGATGTGGCACAAGGCCGAATTTAATGTGGGCTAACTGAGCTCGTAGGTCTGGCCAAAAATTCCCCATAGATCCCGTATAAAACAGGGTCAGGTAGCTGTTTCCGGAGACGAGACTCTGCCCTTCAACATGTCTGGGGATCCTCTCTGCCCAGAGGCAGACAGTTTGAAGAGCACAGCTGGAGACAAATTTCCGACTGCAGACCAACATACAGTATTTACTACTGTATTTATATGAATGGGGACATACCGATTATCGTGTGTAGGTATGCTACAACATATATCCTCATAAACTGTACTCTTTACCTCCTATTATGTGCATCAACCATTAGTAACTCTCTACCTTGAGTGGTTCTTGAAGCTTGCATTGAGTGAACAATTAAAAAAAAAAAATGCTGTGTGTGTGTGTGTGTGTGTGTGTGTGTGTGTGTGTGTGTGTGTGTGTGTGTGCATGCACGCTCTGGTCCAGTCTGTATATTTGCTATCATTTCTTTACTGTATACCATCATTTTCTGATTTGAAATACTAAGAAAAATAAAAGACATTCCTTTACCTATTTCCATATGAATTGTACTCTTGGAAATGGCTACAGATTGAATTGGTCAAAATGTTCTGGTAATAACAATTAGAATGCAATCAATAACCTGAACAATGCTTTGTATGATAACAACATTTTTTTTAATTACCTTGGAGTTTGAAATAGATGCACCAGGACAATTATTTTTTTTTATTTTTTTTATTTATTTATTTATTTATTTATTTTTTTATTTTTTTTTTTTTTTGAGAAAAATCCACCCAGGTAATGTTTATTCAAATCACCTCTTTTATTAAATATTCAGAAAATTTCCTCCCAGCCTTTAATTTAGGCAGTGAGTTTTCAAGGACAGGGCATTTCATTTAAATATTTAATAAAAGGAGTGGTTGGATTGAAGGATCTACAAGGTGAGTCCTTCTCCAAAAAGGAATGATCCCTCTCCCCTGCCCAGCATATTTATTTTGAAACTGAATGGTAACACTGCTTAAAAAAAAAAAAAATAAAAAATAAAAAAAATACTCTAAAATAATCGGAAATGCTTCATTTGAAAAAGAAATAAGTGGATAAAATGAATTTGTCAAAATTTAAAGATGTGCTGTTAAAATGGAGATGCTATTCTTGAAACTTGCACCTACAAAAAAGTATTTTTTAATGAAAAAAAAAAAAATTTCTTGTTGTTTCTATCAGGAAAAATGCTCCTCTCTATGGGAACTGATATTACATTGTAGTTCAGCACTTTGTTTCTAAAAGCATTTTCCTGTTTCGTAATACTTTGCTTAGCTTATCTTTGCTATAAATGATATATGTAAATAATAGCTGATAATATTATTATTTTTTTTTTTTTTTTAGTTGGAACCAGGAGAGTCTCAAGATATCTACATGCCAGTTATTCCCACAATTCAAACTGGTTGCTTTGATGTAAAAATTAGTGCAACCTGTTTTATGGAGAGAGATTATCACATTCATCATCTGTGTGTCAAGGTAAGTCAGTTTCTTTTCTGTTTGAAATTGATTGGGAGCAGCATTTATCATTGTCATAGTTTTTAAATTTTGACTATTGTCCTCATCTTTGTTTTTATTATCACAAGAACATAGCCTAGTGGATAAAAACGTTTGTCTGTCTGAATTTGTGGAATGTAATTATTGTGTATTTTTAATCCTTTTGCTAGGCTTTTATTAGACTCTGTGGAAAACAGAGCAAGCTAAAACTGAGCCATACTAAGAAAGAACAAGATGAGTTATCTCCCTTAGACACCAACACCAAGAATGATCTACATCCATAGATTAAATCGGTGGTTTCCAAACTTTTTTTTTCTCTGGGCCGCATTTTTGAAATGAAATTTTGCTCACATCTCACCAAAAGGAAGTCCCAATAAAAAGGTGCAACTAGCCCTACGGCAAAAAGGTTCAGAGAGAGGGTTAAAGGGAGATAAGTATGGATTTGAATCTCCCTCCAATTTGCAGAGCCAAGTTACTATATTCTTAATACTTGATATAATGCAAAAATGTCACTGATAAAATCGATCAATAACTATTAATAAATTATTAATTAATAAATATTTCAAAATTAATAAATTATTAATTAATAAATATTTCAAAATTAATAAATTATTAATTAATAAATATTCCAAAATTAATAAATTATTAATTAATAAATATTTCAAAATTAATAAATTATTAATTAATAAATATTTCAAAATTAATAAATTATTAATTAATAAATATTTCAAAATTTAAAATATTATGGATTACTTATAATTGCATGAGTCTCATGAGACTCATGCAATTATAAGTAATCCATAATATTTTAAATTTTGAAATATTTATTTATTTTTGGTATATGAATTTTTTGAATCTTTTTAAATCTTTGATTGTATTTCAATCATTCCACCTCACCTGCTATCCTTTTCTGTCGCACTATTTGGGAACCACTGGATTAAACAAACGGTTCAGTCTGAAATTCCCTGAAGGTTACCTGTAATAACAGACACCTGAGGAAGACCAGAGGGTATGGTGGCTGAAACTTTGTGACAATAACAGCAAAGATGAAGATATTAGTCCAAATGAAAATAATGTAAATAAAGATCAGCATGTTAGATTATTGAACTATTATTTCATTTGTTATGTAATGCCTTGTCATAAACTAATACAAATAACAAAGATGAGGATATTAATCTAATTTTAATAGGAATTATCTCCCTTCACATTTATTTGCCAGATTTAATTTTCATTCTTCTGAATATAATAAAAGAACATTTTTTTAATTCTCCAATTCTCTTCAGGACATAAGAGAACATTCTCTCTCCACAGTTTTCTTCTTCATTATAAGTGGATTGCCATGAATTCATGGGAAAGATAGTGAAGTAGTTTCCTATTGCCTTTTCTATGGTTTTGAATTCAGATTAGTCCTTTTCCTAGACTGGCCACTGTTGTGTTGCAGCTCAGACTAGACACCAAATTTATTGACAGAGTGCAATGTTTTTTTTTTTTTTTTTTTTAAAGACACAAGGGGTTACTGAGTTTTAGAGAATATGAGAAAAAAATCTACTATTAAAGAGAGAAAACAAAAGAACAGCAATTAAGAAGATGGAAGATAAAAGATTTGATCCCTTTCACTAGTGTTACATTGCTTGGGTCTCAAAAGGAAGGTACAAATGAATGCTTTGTTATGTTTGCTCTAACTGACCCCCATAGCTTCTTTGTTCTTTTCTGTATACTTTCAGTTAAAATTATGTAATCTTAATGTATATCTGTCCCATGCCAAATTTGTTTGATTTACCTTCATTCAACCATGTGCTACCAATATATCCTTTGAACACATCATCCATAACATTTTTACTATGCCACACTGATGAGTATAATTCTGTAAAGCTTATCAAACAAAATTGATTAATTTTGTTAATATTTTGTGGTTATTAATATAATTCTTGATAATATTTCAAGGCTTGTGTAACTTTTATTTAAGTATTATTTAAAAAAAATAACATGAAACATATTTTCTTGATTGTTAATTAAATACAAATTTTATATTTTATGTTTTTGTTTTCCGTTTATATTTCTGGGATGAGGTATTATGTACACTATTTACATTATTAGGACTATTGTCCTCATCTTTGTTGCCATATTTATTACGTTTCAGCCGTTGTATGTTCTGGCCATCTACAGGTGGTTGGAATATCGAACTGAACCCTTTATTTTGCTCACTGGGGTAGACTGTTCTAGTTCCATGTGCCATGTTTAATTGGATGTCAGTTTTCAGTTATCTACTGTTAATTTCCCTCTGACAGTGGAGAACTGACATCCATTAAAACATGGCATGTGGAACTAGAACAGTCTACCCCAGTGAGCGAAATAAAGAGTTCAGTTCGACATTCTAACCACCTGAAGAAGGCTTAGCATACAATGGGCAAAACGTTGTAATAAATATGGCGACAAAGATGAGGACAATAATAAACTATTTACAAATATCTTTTTCAGTGTAACTTTAATTCTTTATATTCTGCTTAAATTTTACTTGAGTAATTTAATTTTAATTGCAGTCTGATGGTGTGAGTAACTATTATCACATTCCCTACATGATTGATTTGATCACACAAGCGTCTGTGATTGTACCAGACTTTGATATTCCAATTAAGCAACAATTCATTCAGCCAGAACAGAGAGAACATGATTATGTCCCAGGTTCTGGAAAAGCAGTCACCAGTCTTTTTGGTAAGTAACATTGTGTAAGGATTGGTAAAAGAAAAAGGAATATTTTACTCATTACTTCTTAGCTAGTAAAGCCAGTTGGCTGGACTAATACTGAAATGGTATGAAGAGAAGAGAAATGTTTGTTTGTATATTTGTATACAAATATACAAATATGATACAGAGTTAAGAAGTTTGTCTATATTTCTGAGATGAGGTATTATGTACAGTATTTACATTAGTCGGACTATTGTCCTCATCTTTGTCGCCATATTTGTCACAACGTTTCGGCCGTTGTACGCTCCGGCCTTCTTCAGGTGGTTGGAATTTCGAACTGAACCCTTTATCCTCAAGGACACATGGCACAGTGGATAAAGGCGTTGGTTAGATCCAGTGACAGACCCAAAGAAGGTGAGTTCAATTCCTGGTTAAGGCAGTGGAGAACTTTCAGAGGGAAAAATAGCAGGAGATAACTGATAACTGACATCCATCAAACATGGCACGTGGAATTAGAACAGTCTACCCCAGCAATCGAAATAAAGGGTTCAGTTCGAAATTCCAACCACCTGAAGAAGGCCGGAGCGTACAACGGCCGAAACGTTGTGACAAATATGGCGACAAAGATGAGGACAATAGTCCGACTAATGTAAATACTAGAGTTAAGAAGTATTAAAAACTAAGTTGCCCATGTTGTCAAGTAAGTCATAATAAGCAAAATGAAATTCTGACAAAAGAAAGCCTTTTATTTGAATGTCACAGTTTCACTAGAGATAATCATGTTGAGCCAGTATCTCTTGTGTCCTGGGTAAGATGATAAAATACATCCAACAGCAAGGCTTCTAATCACGAGATTTTGAGGAGGGTGGAACCACCTCTTAATTGCTGGTGTTCCCATGTCCACCCTGACCCTGGGTGGTAGAACCTGTTAGGGTCCCAGCTATCGGCTAATAGTTAACCCCCAAATTGGGGTCAAAACATTATGAAAGTGTAAAAATAGGTTTTAAGGTTTGTAAAAAATTATTACCACCAATGAATTTTTGAAGAAAAAAATTATTACTAGCAATGCATTTTTTTTAAAAAAATTATTTTCAGCAATAAAAATCTTGTTGGCATTAAATAGCCCATTGAAGTTGATATGCTGTAAAACAAACCAAACCAGTATCTCTTGAGTGATGAGAGATAAGAAAAGATGTGAAATTAACAAGCAAGGTTCAAGTTCTGACCTTGTCTGTTATATTCATACACACATAATGGCTTGGAATTTTTAATCAGACAGTCTAGTTTCAATTTCTGTTGGGTTCATTATATTTACTTATATGCAAATACTCTTGGGAAACGTATAAATCCACCTCTTTTCCCCCAGCTATGGGTTAATTAGTAAGACTTGTATCACTAAATCATTGTCGTAAAAAAAAAAATCTTACACTCTAAAAAATATTTTTTGGCTTTAAATAACCTGCAATGTGTTGACGAGCTGTAGAAATCAAATCAATTATGTTAGCATAGAATATATGATAATGAGACCTTGTTGCTAATCTAGTACTGCACTGCATAAAATCTAGGCACCATAGAGGAAAGTTCATCAGAGCAATTACTATGAAAATATTTATCATAAGTTGTAGGGAAGCTACTACAGTGGTGGGAAAGTGACTGAGCTGAGATGCCAGGTGAGGACCAATAATATTGCAGTTTCTTTTTTTTTTTTTTGTATTTTATCAAGAATCTCTAAATAGATAGCAGAAAGAGCAGACCAGATATGGCAGCAATATTCAGTACATCAATTATATTTATCAATTTTTCTTTTATATTTTAATTTTTCTTTTCCACCCAATTTTCAGGTGATGTGGTTACTCCTGGATTTTTTGATGAGTATCTCAATGCCGAGAATATACTGTACAAGCCATATGGTGCTGGAGAGAACATGGTCTTTAATTTTGCTTACAACTTGATGACCCTAAAATTCAAGAAGGCCAGCAAGCAACTGAGTGATGAAACTCTACAGATTTCACTCAGATATCTAAACATTGGTAAGATTTCTATAGAATTTTTTACTGGTAACATGCTATGAAAAAAATGTTGCAAAAGTTTTTCTTTCATTCAGTTTACAATGTGTTTTATAGTTTTAAAATTCTTCACGTTCCTTTGCAGTTAATAGAAATGGGAATCAATAAGTCGGTAGCCTTACATATTGTAGAATTTTGATCTAAAATTTTTGCTGTATAATGTTCAATCTATGTGATTAATATTCATGACCAAATTGAGTGCATTGACAAAGGAGGAAATTATGTTGTGTAAAATAAACGTATTTTTGCATTACTTGCTATGGAGCTATTGATATTCACCAGTGATTTAAGTGCATTAAGAAGGAAGGAGATTATTTTGAAATTTTCAACATTAGCCTACAGACTTCTTGATGTACCCACATATTCACTACTGAATTAAGTGCCTTGACAAGAAGGGAGATTGTTTAAAAATAAATATTTGTGTAAAATGAATATTTCTCATCATTAAGCTACAGATTTATAGTGGGTTATCAGTTATAGTGAAGTGTATGAGCGTTGAAACAGATTAGTTTGATTTGACCTTGTTAGATAGCCCACCATAAGAGGGGTATAAAACAAGAAAATTAAATTGTAAAGTGAAACAACAAATTTATAGACATATAAATCAATTAAGGTCTCTACAAATAAAATTAGTGTATTTTGGTTGATACAAGGTCGTCAAAATGTTTGTAGTAGTCCTTGCAACAATGACTTTGTGTACATAGGCAAGAACGTATATGTGTATGTATGTATGAGCGTTATCAAAGGTTAGGAATGTCTTTGAAGTAATCGTCTTACTCTCTCTCACACATAGGTAATAATTGTTATTTCATGAAAGCTTTATACCGTCTTAAAATGTTCCGTTTGTTTATCAAGTATAAAAGAGATGAGAGAGAAAGGTAAAGATAATAAAAACTATTGCATGACGTTTGTCAAGGGATGTGTTTATACGCTTGTCTCCTTCTCTCTGATGACGGGCGAATTTGCACGTCTTTTATTTTGTTTCAGGAGCTTGAAAAGGTCATTTGGGAATTCACTCCCGGATATGATTCGGGCCTTTCCATTGGACAATGAACAAACTTTGTGTCGGCTCGCAAAAAGGTTCATAAAAGAATTTGTTTCTGAGAATTGAAGATTATTGGGAATTTTGTTTTTAAATGTTTCCTAGTTTTCTATTGGCCGAAAAACATTTTGCATCAAGGTGTGAAATTTCACGAGTTTTGTTTTGGATGTGCTTTTCCGTGTGTGTTAAGCAAAGTTTGTAAATTCGAGTCTTTTTAATTTCTAACAAAATCAAAGAGTCCATGCTTAGCATTTGAATTTTAAATCTAGATCTTGTTTTGTTCACTACAGATTTATTGCTGTCCTTTCATAGTGCATTGACAAGGAAAGAGATTAGGTTGAAAAACTTCATTAGATTTATAAGTATATCTATATAAATATAAGTATATCTTCACACTTTATAAGATTTATAAGTATATCTTCACACTTTATAAGATTTATAAGTATATCTTCACACTTTATAAGATTTATAAGTATATCTTCACACTTTATAAGATTTATAAGTATATCTTCACACTTTATAAGATTTATAAGTATATCTTCACACTTTATAAGATTTATAAGTATATCTTCACACTTTATAAGATTTATAAGTATATCTATATAAATATAGTGTCAAGATGATGACTCTGTGTTCTAAAAGGAGATAAAATTTATTAAATTATTTTCTACTGTATATCTATCATAAAGAATTTAATGTGCAGTAGACTAACACTTTTTATTTTTTTGGTTTTCAGCTCTTCAAAGAATTATGAGTTATATGAACAAAGATGGTTCATTCAGCATGTTCCGAGATCATTCCAGGCCCAGTATTTGGTAAATCATTCAAATTCTCTAAAGTGACATGTACAAGGAGGTAAGGGCTGAAAAGTACACAGTCCGACCAAGAAACCCTTCAGCAAATTCTTATATTTGGTTAGATTTTGGGAAATGGATCAGTCTGAGCACTTTTCAGCACCCCACCTCATAGTTGAATAGATAATCCTGATTAAGATGGTGATTTAAAATCTGATAGAACTTATTAGAGATTTCAACCTGAGGATGACTAGACAATGATCAAAAGCATTAGAACTAATAATAAAACAACCCCCCTGCACACACACACACATTTTATATGTGACAACTGCTATTTTTTCAAAGAAGGCCATCTCCTCAAGATTGAGACCAACAATGGGCCCTCAGATGACTTTGCTAGAATGTGTATCACCTAGGGAATCCCTTGAGTTTGTGAATCTCTCCCACTCCCATAATTCCCCACAAAAAATATCATATATTGCACAGTGGAGATATATATATATATATATATATATATATATAGTGCTGTTCAATAAAAGTGACTCACCTGATTTTTTTTACTTAAAAATTTTTTCGCCTGTTGTTTTTGGGGTCAAACTAATTTTTAATCTTATTAATATAAAGACCCCTTCCTGACCACCTAGTAAAAAAGTTTACTCACCCTAAGGTATTCTATTGATAATTATAATTTTGGATATAAATGAGATTTAAGGAAAAACTCTGTGCAAAAAAAGTGACTCACTAATTTCCTGCAATTAGTAATCAATAGAAACATAACCGAACAACTTTAAATAAAGAATAATAGAGGTATAATTTATTTATAATAGGTAATATAGTTTGAAATATTTAATAATCTATGGGTCCTCCTTTATTTTGAATAACCTTTTCAACCCTTTTTGGCATTGACTTGATTAGGTTCTGGCAAATCTCATCTCCAAGCATTGAATTCTATGAAATTCACAATCAAATCCTCTTTGTTACTAAACTGCTTTCTTAAGAGCCTGTACTTTATAATGCTCCATAAGTTTTCTATGGGGTTGAGGTCAGGAGATTGGGGCGGCCATGTCATAACACTCACCTGCTTCTCATCAAAGTATTCCTTCATCAATTTTGATTTGTGTCAGGGAGCCTTTATCCTGCATAAAAATGAGCTTGGTGGAGTCGATTTGCACCCTTTCAGCAGAAGGGAGCAGACAAGACTCTAAAATTCTCTTGTACTGCTCACTCCTGAGGGTCTTTTCAATAGGTTTTAAGAAAGCAGTTCCATGAAAAGAAAAGCACCCCCAGAACATTATACTGAACGGATGCTTGACAGTACTTACTGCTAAATTCAAAGAACTTTCAAAGCTTCTTCTTCAGATTTTAGATCGCTTATCCTTTGAATTTAGCTCAAGTTTTGTTTCATCGGAGAAGAGAACAGTTAGTAAAAAAAAAATCAGGGGAGTCACTTTTATCGAACAGCACTAAAATATATATATATATATATATATATATATATATATATGACAAACTGGAAAGTTGTTTTAATTTTTTGTTTTTTTTGTAACATGTTTCATCCTAATGGATGAAATGTGTTACAAAAAAAAACTTTCCAGTTTGTAATATTTTTCTAAATACTGTTGATTATATAAAAATTATATATTGTTCAGAGCGAATAATTTAAAGAAAAACAGACCACTTTAAGGCTCCATTTGTAATAATTTATTTCACCAGAGAATTTTATTATACTCTGGATCTTCAGATTTCACTTTCAAAAGGTGAAATGAAAAATAAATTTAAAATTTACACTTTTGACAGGCAGTATTAAGCTTATATTAGTTGACATAGAGGGTGGTGAGGAATGGTATGAGAGACATGGTCAAGTTTAGAGAGGGAAGGGAGAGTTTTAAAATTTATTTTTATATTTCTTTTTATTATAATACTTAATATTGAGGAAGGAGTGGGTAAGGATCAGACATTGACCTATTTAATCGGTCAACTCAACGGAAATGATATGGGGGGGGAGAGAAAAAAGGGGGAAGAAAAGAGATGTCTGTAGGGTTTTCGGAGGAAGAAGAGGGGTGGTATAGCTTAGGCAATTTAGATAAAAACATATTTTAAAGTTTGATAGTAATTTAAATGTTTAAAAACTCCACAAAGAAATTAAATTTAATGCTTGTTAGCTATTTAAATATTCAACTTCTCTACAAATAAATTAGGGATAAAGTCGAATACTATGTTAATAAACAACAATAATAAAAAAATAAAAAAAAAATTTACTAATAGTAATATTTTAATATTGTGAATGACTGTTAAGGTAAAATCTTTATCAGTTTGAGTCTAATTCATGAATTTAATTTGTAGCTATTTTTAGATGGGTAATATTTCTTAATTAAAGTTTAGGTTTCAAATCAAGATAGAGTAAGATTTGAAGATAATAGTAAAAAAATTTACTTTTTTTTTTCATACATACACCACATACATATTTATGTAAAACACATACATATACATTCATGTACATGTGCAATTACACATATAACCACATACACATGTATCTATATACATTGGTACAAATACTTACACATACATTTACATATCTCCACACACATCCATATTTATACATATTTAAATTTTTTCTTAAATTTTACAGTTAATGTTAGGTGGTGAATTTAGTGTTTGAATTTCAAAAAATACGTTTAATTTTAATATTTTTAACATGAATAATAGTTAAGGAGTAACATTTTTTAATTTAAATTGAACTGATCAATTTAAATTGAGATTATCTCCAGATGAGTAAAATTTCTAATCTTTCAAGTTTAATTAGAAATTATTTAAAGAGAAAGTAAGATTAAAAGGTAATAAAAAATGATATAAATTGTTTAAGTCTAACATATTTAATTTCTATATATATATAATTGATTAAGTCTAACATATTTATTTTAATTTCTTTGTTTAAATGCTTTTTGTGAACCTCTCCCCTGGCTCCCTACAAAAGGTACCATATATTGCACAATCACTCCCTCATATATATATATATATATATATATATAATTATTATTTATAAAAAAAAATTATAACATAAGTATGCTATAAAATCACTACAAAAATAGCCATTTTGTTTCAACACACTCGGTGTCTTATCAAATGATGATGTTGAAGTATTTTACGGAATTGTGTGTGCAGGCACACTTGATAAGACACCGAGGGTGTTGAAACAAAATGGCTATTTTTGTAGTGATTTTATAGCATACTTATGTTATAATTTTTTTATAAATGATAATTATATCTGCTCTACTTTGTATTGAGCACTCTTTTAAGAATAGTAATTGTTGGTTATTGGAATTCATTCCGTATATACCAATTATATACTTGGTATATATATATATATATATATATATATATATATATATATATATATATATATATATATATAATAGCTGGAAATGTAAACAACTGTTTCTTATTTTCATTTTTTTTATTTAGTCAATCCTAGACTATTTTCATGTGAATAAGGATTGTGCAATATTTTTTAGCATTATTCCATCTAATGTAAAAACAATCTACATTTTATACATAACAAATTATATTTTTAACAATTATTTCACTAAAATATTTCCAACTATGTTATCAAATTTCTTACTTATTAATTAATGTAGATGACAAAATATTGCAAAAACAAAAATGCTTTATAGATGATTTGCTGCACCACTATCATAATCTTAATGTTTGATTAAAAATCTTTATGAAATGATATCAGGTATTTATAGATGGGTAATGAATATTACTGGTAATAATCCTATCATCATCCCAATATGGAATAATTCAATGATTGATTTCAAGACAAAAATTATATTAAAAATTGTCTGAATGTTTTACAAACACTTTTGGCTATACTTTTAGAAATTATCAAGGATGAATTTTGTTTTTTCTTTTAACTGAATGTATGGATAGTTTTATATATGTATCTAGCATTTTAGGAATCCATATATTCAGTTAAAAGTAAAGCCAAAAGTACTTGTAAAGCATTCAGACAATTTTTATATAATTCATGTCCTAAAAAGAAAAAAGTTATAAACACATGAGAAACTATATAAAAACATTCAACCACTGCACTCTGTCAGTCATTTTCAATGAAACTTGCATATATATATATATATATATATATAGCACAATGAGAAGCCATGTATACTTTCTTAATATGTATATATAGAAAAAAACAACTAAAAAGTTGCAAATTAAAAAAAATAATGTATTTTATGAAAGTATTTATATTTGATATTTCAGAAGATCAAGGTTGATCTGAAATATCAAATATAAATAAATACTTTCATAAAAAAACATTATTTTTTTAATTTGCAACTTTTTAGTTGTTTTTCTCTCTCTCTCTCTCTATATATATATATATATATATATATATATATATATATATATATATATATATATATAATGTTGTTAAATATAACAGACAACGAATGTCTATTATGTTTGATCATGAGCGATTCTAACCATCATATAGTGACTTTTGGTTTCAGGAGAAAGTAAAGACAAAACTGACCAATATTTGGATATTTTTTTATGCTGCTTCTTGATCTAAGCATTCAGCTCACATGAGCCATCATCAGAATGGTTATATGGACATTACGACAGATGTTCACCGTCATTTCAAATTTCCTGTGTCTGCTATTCCGCAACCGTTATTATTGCATAGCAATCTTCTATATAAGCATAACAGGATGTCATATTTGATGAACATCTCTGTGGTAATGTCCATATAACCACCTCTGATGATGGCTCATGTGAGCCAAAAGCTTAGATTGAGGAACAGCATAATAAATTAAAAAAAAAAACAACAGAGAGAGAGAGTGAGAGAAAAATATCCATATGTTGGACAGTTTGTCATTATTTTCTCCCAAAACTAAAGCCACTATACAAAGCTTAGAACGGCTCATGATCAAACATAAGACTGTCTGTTATATTTAACAAATATATATATATATATTATATAATATAATGTGTGTGTGCACACATGTTGAATCTTTTGAGTCTTTTTTAATATTTAGAATTTGTTTTGTGACACATTATATATAACATTTTTTGTCTTTGTTTATATCAATGTCTTCAGTATGTTTTTAGCTACTTTTCTATTTCTTGTTAACACTTTTTTCTTTTACTTTTTTTTTTTAAAAGGTTGACTTCGTTTGTTGCCAAAACACTGTACACTGCCAGAACTTATGGAGAATGGGAACGTGATTTTTTTGTTCCTCTTGAAATGATTAATGAAATGGTTGTGTGGATTTGCAACCAGCAAGATAGTATCAGTGGTGCCTTTCATAGTAATGGAAGTGCTTATGACAGAAAAATGGTAAGTTTTTAAATTTTCTTTTGCTGATAAACCTTTTGAAAACTTTTCCTAAAACTCTCAAGTCATACTTGGAGAGATTAGCCGTTTCCATACAGACAACCTTAGGCAAGGATGAAAGAAGGAAACCAAATATTACATGTGTTTTCTAAGTGTGAATTCTTTCTTTTCACTCTTGTACACCAAATACATGACCCAAGTGCCACTCAAGATAGAGTATTACTGAATTGTTATTGTGTGGACATAACGGGGGTGGGGATAAGAAGTGCAGATTATAAGGACATGTCAGATAGCAGTTTGGTCACCTCATCATGGTGTAATGGTTAGAAAGCTTGTCTTGCTAGATCAATTACAACTGAGTAGTGAGTTCAATCCTCACTGGGTGCCCCATACTTTTGGCCTTGTGCCACATCTAAGCTGGGCTTACAAAATCCTTATGTCAGATAGAAGTTGACCTTAGACTTGAAGAGATTAAGATTGTAGCGATCAGGAAAGCATCTGCTCGAGAGTCTGTTCCACAAAGTAGTTCTTGAGTGGAAGCTGTTTAAATGGGACTTCCTCCTTACCAATGGAATATAAAGAAAATATGAATGATTAGATCCTGTGTGGAATTAAGGAATGAACTGGGATCAAATATGTATTAAAGAATTAAGCTCACTAGAACATTTTTCATGGAAATAGCGACAGAGCAGTGAAAGGTTTGTGATGTTTTGTCTGAGGGCAAGTGTTATCATCTGACTCTGAATAATGACAAGAGGAAAAGAAAGTTTATTGTGATGATGTCTAAGAGAAATTGTCTCTGTCCATTGGAAAGCTATATATTAACGGACAGAGATTTCACATGTACTCAATTTCTGCAGAAAATAATTGAGACATTCTAAATCATTTTAAAATGCAGCAATAACTAAATCAATCTCCTTTCATCTTCAGTCTGGTTAGAGATTGACTGCAAGTTCCTAAACAATATTTTGGTGGTTTCAAAAAGTAAATCCTGATTAAATGCTGTGCACCTACAAAAATAAAGTGCTGTAAAGTGTTGTTTGAGAATACACAAACATTTTATAGCACTTGTATCAAATAACACTGTCCATTGTGCATGCTCTCTTTAATATCCATGATAAAGTTCTAGAAAGTGTTGTTTGAGAATATGCAGACAACATTTTGTAGTATTTGTATCAAATAACATTGTATTTGTCTGTTAAAATAGCACCAGTGTCTATTGTGCATGTTCCCTCCAGTGTCTGTTGTTCCTTTTAATGTGTACTAAAATGTCTTCTCTCTTTGCAGACATCAATAAACAATTGGCAGGACCCCAATATGCCAACAGATCCTGTCATTCTTACTTCCTATGTTCTCATCACTTTGTATTCGATTACAGATGTCTCAAATGTGAGTTCTTTCTGTCTTTTTTTTACCTTTTCTTTTTGGTAAACACAGTACAGCCCAATGGTTAGAACATTGTTTTTTGGTTTCAATTCTGGGCAAGAATTAAATATTTTTACTATTGCTGTAAGAAATCTGTTTCTAAGCCGAGACAAGAAAATATTCAAGCAAGTGTTTCCAACAAATTCAGTTTACTTAACATGCAAGTTTTCTTAATACTATTGTTCACTAAATACAAGGCCCAAGAGCCACTGCAGGTAGAAGGTTACTGAATGAGGTTGTAAAGGTGTACAAAGAAAGGTTAAGAAGTACATATTATGAAGATATGTAGAAGAGATAATAGCTGATTTAAAAAGGTTAAGATTATAGTGAGCAGAGAAACATCCTTTCAGGAGTTTGTGTCACAGCATAACTGTTCTGGGGAAGAAGCATCTTTAGTCTTATTGATGTCCTAGCAGAGCTACCCAGCATTGCCCATGTATTATATCAAAATAACACCAGTAATATAAAAATTCATGATGAATAATAATATCTATATTTAAACTTTATTTAATTTATTGTAACAATATTAATTACAGTTTAATTTAAATTTTTGTCAGTGTTTAAATAAATATATCAAAAAAATAATAAATTCCGTTAAACTTTTTCGTCTGTGCGTCTGTCTTAAACTTCAAAATGACCGCATTTTAGGAACTGTTAAAAACCACATGATTCAACATGTTTAAAGGAATGTTTTGATAAACCATTTATTTTTGTACTTTTTATATAAGTAAAGATATTTGTAAATTAAAAAATATGTAATTAGACTAACATTAGAAAAAGTATCAACACACTCAATGTTTATCTAGCAACCCCAGTGTGGATGCACTCAGTGTTCACATGTTGAACCCAGTATGAACACGCTTGGTGTTCACATGTTGACTCCAGTATGAAAACACTATGCTTGCCTATTGCATGTGCAGACAGACACCTGAAGATGGTTGGATGATATAATGGCCAAATATAGTGAGTATAACAGCCAAGATGAGTATATCGATATGAATAGCAATGCATATAATAATAATAATAATAATAATAATAATTACTCCTTAAAATCTGTGATAAAAATTATGGTTTATCAATAATTTTATGACGATCATACCTTTGTATAGAGTGATTGTATTTTTCTTGCTTTTTGTCCAGGATGCGTCCCGCCTTATTAAAGTTGCCAGGCAGCGTGCTGCAAGTTATTTATCACGACAATCCGGAAACATTCAAGATGATGATGTTTTCAAAATGGCCATCACTGCATATGCTCTGTCTCTATCAAGTGAGAAAAGTGTTCAAATTTTTGATCGTCTCTGGAAATTGGTTAAAGGGGGTGAGTGAATTATTTTCAATTCCTCTCATTTTTCTTTTATTTCAAAATTGATTTCTTTTATTTTAACTTTCCTTGATACAGTTTTTTATTTAACTGTGTCTTTGTTTATTGGAAATTAACATATCTTTATTTGGTTACATGTTAGTTTCTATTGATTCTGTCTTCTCCTAATTGCTTTTCTTTTAACACTGCTTTACACATTTATTCACTAGATCCCTTTTTTTTTCTTTTTCTTTTTTTTTTTTTTTTTTTTTTTTTTTTTTTTTTTTTTTTTTTTTTTTTTTTTTTTTTTTTTTTTTTTTTTTTTTTTTTTTTTTTTTTTTTTTTTTTTTTTTTTTTTTTTTTTTTCTTTTTTTTTTTTTTTTTTTTTTTCTTTTTTTTTTTTTTTTTTCTTTTCTTTTTTTTTTTTTTTTTTTTTTTTTTTTTTTTTTTTTTTTTTTTTTTTTTTTTTTTTTTTTCTTTTTTTTTTTTTTTTCTTTTTTTTTTTTTTTTTTTTTTTTTTTTTTTTTTTTTTTCTTTTTTTTTTTTTTTTTTTTTTTTTTTTTTTTTTTTTTTTTTTTTTCTTTTTTTTTTTTTTTTTTTTTTTTTTTTTTTTTTTTTTTTCTTTTTTTTTTTTTTTTTTTTTTTTTTTTCTTTTCTTTTTCTACTGTTATTTTGTTTAATACCATATCCCTTCAGGCATTATGGAATCATGGCTCTCAACAGATTCTTTTTCTTTTTTTATGTGTGAATTGCCAAGCATTCTTGGGAAAGACAGTGGAGGGTTTTCTCATTGCCTTCTTCAGATTCCATTTCTTTATTATCTGTGAATTGTCATGCCTTCTTGGGAAAGATGGTGGAGTGGTTTCCTGTTGCTTTCTCTGCAGATTCCTTTTTTTATTATCTTTGATAAAATAATTTATTTTAGGGAAATATATTGGAATGTTTTCCTGTTGCCTTCTACATAGTTTGGAATTCAAAGTCGAGACTGCAATTTAACCTGCAAGAGAAAAGATGTATTCATGTCATTTCCCAAAGGAATTAGTGTGAAAGTGAATGCGTTAGACCAGTCCAGTATTTGAACTCTGCTCACTGATTCCACATTCAGTGCTAATGTCTGTTGTGCCACCCACACATCCTTTGTTAGCAGTACTTTCTTTTATTTATTGTTGACTTGTTTATTTTGTTGCTTTTTATTAAAAAAAAAAAAAAAAGCTCCTTTTGCATTTCATCACATGCTAATACTTTCCCTACTGCATTGTTGCCTGGCTGTGCTGGGTCATTTTGGAAAAATAGGAAAAATGCTATTTATTGGAAATAAGTGGCTATAAACACTGAGTGTAATTTCTTATGGATGTTACATTTTGGCGTTGATTGAATAATCTGCAGTACAAACTAAGTTAAACACCTTTGACACGCTATGATAAAAATACATCACAAAACAGTTTGTATTGTACACTACTATATATCTGTTCTGATTTGAAAATAGTACTAAGCACTAGTTAGTTCATAATAAAAATGCTGGGTGCTGACATTTCACATTGTCTTAAAAAAAAAAAAAAATCTCTCTCTCTCTATATATATATATATATATATATATATATATATATATATATATATATAATCTTTGAACAAACGTCTGTCTTCATCTTAAGTTTTTCTAAAAGTGTATCTAACGTCTGTCTTCATCTTAAGTTTTCTAAATTTTAACTCCACATTCAATTCCTGTGGGTGAATTCCATCTTAAGTTTTCAATTTCAGTTTTTTTCTGGCAAATTCAAAGTTTGATTTTTGATTGTCACAACAATCATTATCAAGAATTGTATAGTGACAATCAAAAAAGACTTGGATTCAAAAAAACAAAAAAAAAAAAAAAATGATCAATTTTGGAATATTTACCAAATTTTAATTCTGGCAGAAAAGAACTTTGTTGAAGTTTGGAAAACTTAATAAAAAGTTGAATAGACAGGAGATGTCAGTGTTGTTTAACAGGATTTGTTTGAAAGAATTCTTTCTGCCTAAATATACAATAAATATCTGTTTTGTTAGTTTTTCTCACTTTCTTTCTTTCTCTCTCTCTCACTCTATTCGTCTCTCACTCTATTCGTCTCTCACTCTATTCGTCTCTCACTCTATTCGTCTCTCACTCTATTCGTCTCTCACTCTATTCGTCTCTCTCTCACTCACTCTATTCGTCTCTCTCTCACTCACTCTATTCGTCTCTCTCTCTCTCTCTCTATTCGTCTCTCTCTCTCTCTCTCTATTCGTCTGTCTCTCTCTCTCTCTCTCTATTCGTCTGTCTCTCTCTCTCTCTCTCTATTCGTCTGTCTCTCTCTCTCACTCTATTCGTCTGTCTCTCTCTCTCACTCTATTCGTCTGTCTCTCTCTCTCACTCTATTCGTCTGTCTCTCTCTCTCTCTCTCTATTCGTCTGTCTTTCTCTCTCTCTCTCTCTATTCGTCTGTCTCTCTCTCTCTCTCTCTATTCTGTCTGTCTTTCTCTCTCTCTCTATTCGTCTGTCTGTCTCTCTCTCTCTCTCTCTCTCTCTCTCTCTATTCGTCTGTCTGTCTCTCTCTCTCTATTCGTCTGTCTGTCTCTCTCTCTCTATTCGTCTGTCTGTCTCTCTCTCTCACTCTATTCGTCTGTCTCTCTCTCTCTCTCACTCTATTCGTCTGTCTCTCTCTCTCTCTCACTATTCGTCTGTCTCTCTCTCTCTCACTCTATTCGTCTGTCTCTCTCTCTCTCACTCTATTCGTCTGTCTCTCTCTCTCTCTCTCTATTCGTCTGTCTCTCTCTCTCTCTCTCTCTATTCGTCTGTCTCTCTCTCTCTCTCTCACTCTATTCGTCTGTCTCTCTCTCTCTCTCTCTCACTCTATTCGTCTGTCTCTCTCTCTCTCTCTCACTCTATTCGTCTGTCTCTCTCTCTCTCTCTCACTCTATTCGTCTGTCTCTCACACACACACACACACACACTCAAAAGCAGGCAATTTAAATTTTATAAAGACGTATGTCTTGAAAATGAAAATTGCCTGCTGTCAATGTAATTTTTGTAAAGGCATATAAGTATGTCTACAGCATCAGAATTGTTAAATATATCTATTACTTTTCTTAACTCACAAGTTGTGATCTAAATGCTGAGGTCATTACCTTTTTAGGGTTAGTAATTGCTTTATTTGAAGATTTAAGTAACTGAATTAATTATAATAGCCATCATAAAGACAATCACTCATTTATAAAGATTATGAAAGTAGATTTGCAAAGTCAATATAATGAATGTTGAATCCCAAAATTCATGCCAAATGTACAAAAATAAGAATTGTAGAAACTAAAATGTCTTCAGTTTTGTTTTTTATTAAAAGCAAGATGAAGATGAAAATGCTTCATATATGCAATTGGCAAATTAAAAATTATTACATTTGCATTTTTAGTTTTAATTTCTTCTTTTGGTTGTATTAGTAAGTATAGTATTAGATTAGTAAGTGTAGAAGAAATGATTTTTAGTGATTAATTTGTCATAATTATCATAAATATCAAAGGGCAGAAAAGTCATATATTTCTGTTATTTCTCATTTTTTCATCTTTTTTTTCTTTTTTTTCACTTCTTTTTAACATTTATGAAATAAATAATTAAATAAATTTATTTTTAAAAGTTTTTCCACCCATCTTTCTTTTTTTCTCTACCCATCTTTTTTTTTTCTTTCTTTCTTTCTCTACCCATCTTTTTTTTTTCTTTCTTTCTTTCTCTACCCATCTTTTTTTTTCTTTCTTTCTTTCTCTACCCATCTTTTTTTTTTTCTTTCTTTCTTTCTCTACCCATCTTTTTTTTTTTTCTTTCTTTCTTTCTCTACCCATCTTTTTTTTTTTTTCTTTCTTTCTTTCTCTACCCATCTTTTTTTTTTTTCTTTCTTTCTCTACCCATCTTTTTTTTTTCTTTCTTTCTTTCTCTACCCATCTTTTTTTTTTCTTTCTTTCTCTACCCATCTTTTTTTTTTTTCTTTCTTTCTCTACCCATCTTTTTTTTTTTTCTTTCTTTCTTTCTCTACCCATCTTTTTTTTTTTCTTTCTTTCTTTCTCTACCCATCTTTTTTTTTTCTTTCTTTCTTTCTCTCTCCAATTTTAACCCCTGCTTTCTTCTTTCAACTTTTTTAATCTTTTTTTTCATCAGCCGAGCAGAAGTATTTTTCTTATGGTGTGATTCCACCGAATCCTTCTGAAATTTTGGACAACATCCGTTACCTTAAACCTCGTATTGAACAAAGAAATGATGCGTATGGTGTGCAATCGACGGCCTATGCACTTATGGCTCACATCAAACATAACAGATTCAAGTATGAACGAGATTCTCTCATGAAATGGCTCAATTCAATGAGGAATTCAATAGGTGGAATGGCTTCTACTCAGGTAAAATATTGAAAGTGGCACACACGCACACACACACACAGGGCATAAATTAATTTGTCCTGTTATTTGTCCCTGCTGTTCTTTTAAAGAGATATCTAATTGCAGACATTGACTCTATAAGAGAATTATATAAAAATTTCTATATGTAAGAACAATACTGGATAATAAAATTAATAATTAATCTTGAATGCTAGAAAATGTAAAATTTAGCCTCCCTACATTAATGGATTTCTGAGTTTATAAAACTAAAGCTGCAAGCAAAATTCTTGTACAACGACAGCTTGACGTATTTGTAGAGCTTGTTAAGGAGTACAGACTGCCTGTAAGTGTCTGGTTGGTCAAATCTGACCACAATTGAGCAGATAAACGAGGATCCCACAGTGTTTGCTTGATGCCATGAAGAAGCAAAAAATCTTTTTGAAGCATATGTGCTGCTTCCATAGAATCGTTAACTCCTAACCAAATAATGGCCATCCATCATCAGACTGGTCATCCTGGGGTGAGGCAGATGTAGTACTTTGTGTTTTGGGCCAGCCTGTCCATATTAAAAAGTGCTGTGAGGACCATGGTCAAAAAGTGTCAAGCATGTCAGTCTATAGACCGCTATTCTGTATGAGAAGTTTTTAGATGAGTGGAGAGCTTGCCTTCAGCTGCGATGTGTATACATACCATCAGGGAATGATATAGCAGACATATAACTGGAGTGTGAGTAGGATGGCAATCAGGAAGCAATGTATGGGTACAATGTAATGCCAAAGGACAATGTTTTAACTGCACCAGTTAACACTATCTACTGGGTTCAAATAAAGGGAGTTGATACCACATTTACACTGGTTCATGAGGAGGTACACAGAGTGTACAATGTTGGAGATCCCATCTGAGTGAAGTCTCCCAATAGCTGATGTACTACCAATTTCAGAAAGGAGTGCGTTACATGTTGATAGGACTTTGCACTGTAAAAAAGATCTGTTGTTTTCAGATCAAATTCTTTGATGAACAGCAATGAGTCTTCTGACAGTGAGATGCTGCTTCAGTGCAAGTCATGGTCACCCAACAGTCCTCTTGACAACTTACCCACTAAAACTAGCATGTTAGATGACTCATCTGAAGAGACTTTTACCATCTCTCCATGGAGAAGCACATATCAGAGTAGGCCAAGAATAATTAAAGACTGCCCCCCTACAATGAAGCGCAAAAAGGTTGCCATCTTTGAGATCAGTGGGCAGTGTGCAGAAGAAATTTCCTTATCTTCAAAAAGGTTGAGCATGTGCATATACGTCTTTAAGATTTTGTGACAATTTTCTATATAACAGAGTATTAAGTATATATTAGTGAATATAAATAATGTCCAATGTGCATTATATATATTGTCTTAACCTATAATTAGTTTAACATCATGAGAGCTATGTTTATTCCATAAGACATTACTTTAATAATATATTTTGATAAGCACCAATTATTTTTATTACAGCTAACGATAGTTTTTTATCCAAAAAATGGAGTTATCCCCCCTTAATACAGACTGTATTGTAAATTCAAATTTTAAAAAATTATTTTAAATAATTTTTTTTCTTTTTACTTTTTTGTCTTTCAAACTTAAGACTTTGGTCAATATACATTAGAAATAATTAATTTAAATATTATAGACAACAATAATAAAATGTGCAAGTCTTAACACACAATTTTAAATCAATACCATGAGAACATGAATTTCATAATGCTTAACAGTCAATGAGTATCCTGCACCTGAAGATTGCATATTTGCATGAAACTCTAAGTCATGCTATTGACGTGGGATATTACGTATATTCACCTATATATATATATATATATATATATATATATATATATATATCTCAAGAGTGAATAAGAATATGGAAACATGTTTATGTATCAACAGCTTTAATGTAATACTAAAAATTCTTACTTTCTTTACAGGATACAATTGTCGCCATGGAAGCCCTGTATGAATATACCCAAGTTGACCCAAACAGAAACATATTCAACATGCTTGTAAAGGTTTGGTCAACTGCTAATGATGACTATAGGATTGATATGCAACTGACAAAATCCAATTATACAAACCTCAGCACCTTTTCTGTAAGTATGTCTCACAAATTTAGATATTGTAGCTCTCATTGTTGAAAAAAAAGAAAAATAAATTTAATTTAAAAGGTTTATTGCTGGTAGTTTTGCACCTAAGTTTGTCAAAGTAATTATTCATACTGATCTGAGAAATCCAAAACTAATATGGTTGACTTAAATAAGCAATGAAATAATAGATTTTAATTTTTAATGACAACTATAGAGATAGATGTAGAGATAGATATATATGGATGGATGGATGGATGGATATGGAGATATAGATATCTCAGTCATCTCTTATATATAGACCACAAAAGTAAAGAGCATTTTCCAGCATCATGCACTGATTTGGCAATGGGAAATGGAGAAATATTTTTAAAGTAAAATATTCAACAGATGTAAGTAGAAAATATAAAGATGTTGTTTGAGTTGAAACACACACACACACACACACACACACACATATATATAGTTTTCAACTGAAAAAGCTGTAAAATGATGTTGTAGGCCACTAATAAGTTGTATACTTTGATATCTGCATCAGTATTTATTTTTTTTTTTTTACTTTTTTAAAATCTTTCTTTAGGTTCATCCGAATGTTTGGGGTTACATCCGTGCCCAGGTATTTGGTACTGGACGAGCCATGCTACAGGTAAATGGATTTACTATTTCCTTTTATTTTTATTGGCAGCTAGGTTTTATCATTTTACTGTTGAAATTGCTCGATGTAACCAAAAAAAAAATACTGCACATAAATGACTATAAAGATGTTGGCACAGTGATGTCTCATGGACGCCATCATTTTGGTTTTCATTAGATTCACTACTGAACAGACTAAGCTGAACAACATACAATATAATAAAATACATCACAAAACCTGCTGCATTGTTTGCTACTATGTGTCTATGATGCTTTGGAAATAACACTAAATGCTAAGAGCCAAGATATAATGAATTTTTATTTTTAATCTGAAATATTGCTTCACTAAAAATAACGCTTGAAGTAATAACCCCCCCACACACACACACATATATATAATGGACTCTCCCGTCAGTTTTGACGTATGAGGATCTGACATCTTAGTTGATTCAGTTATGAAATTTTGTGTGATAATCCTAAGTGGCACTTAAGACCTGCTAATGATTTACAAAGACCACATATGAAACACGAGTGAGGATTGTGAGATGAGATCACTGTTAGATTGGCTGACCTTTTAGATCTTGCTCTTGCTCCTTGAAGATGATTCAGGCAAGGAGATTGAAAACTGCTGAGTCCACTAAAACATGTTGATCTCCATTCTACCTGCTCTAAGGCTAAGCGCTCATGGGTGTTATGGGGTATATTGACTGCTGACAAGTTGCTTTTCAGATTGTCTTTATATCTTAGCCATGGGCGTCCAACATTCCTGTAGCTCTGATCTAACTGGCTGTACATTAGGATCTTGGGTATCCTGTCATCAGACATTCTCAAGGCATGACCAGTCCATCGTAACAGAGACTGTATGAGAAAAGTCTTGATTTCTCCAATATTATACCTGTTAAACAGATCTATGTTAGATGTCCTATCTTAAAGGTTAACTCCACAGAATGCACGCAGACAGGTTTTATGGATAAAAACAAGCTGGCATATATGGTACCTGTATGGCGTCCACGACTCTGAGCCATACAAAAGGATGGCAAGTACAACAGTATAGTGTGTGTACATCTTTAGCAGGCAATGTAAGTTTCGTAAAATTGTATAGCATTAGAAGTGGTAAAAATTGCAAAATTTCTTACTTCGTTTTATAAATTATTTACTTCCCTTTAATCCCAAGCTGTGATCTAAATGCTAATATCATTACCACTTTTACCAAATAATGGTTTCACTTGAAGAATTTCACCTCATTCCTATGATCTCTTGTAGGATGGAAATGACGAGTCAACATTTGTCAGATGCCTAGCTTTAGAAAAAGATAGACTAGGAAAACTTGTTGTTAGCAAAATGCTCCTCTTCTGAGAAGGCACCCAAGAAATTAGGTCAAATGAATGAAGGGGACATTTTGGGTTTGAGTGAAATTCAATTTATTGATCAAGTGGAGAATCAGGTGGACTGTGCAATAAGGTCTATTGGACTTCCAGCAATGTTTCACCATTGTACCCCTGACCCAAAAAATGATGTATCAAAAGGACTTTTTTTTTCCTTGACACACCTATTATTTTAACTACTTTCATTCCTTGGCAATGTTTTGTTTTCAAAAGGAATGATTGGAATTGTAATAAAACATATGAAAGTGAATTTATATATTTTCTTGGGAATTTACAACAAAAATAATAAACAATATTTATTTATTAGATTGTTTATTTATACAGTTTATTAAATTGTTTATTGAAATTGTTGACAAAACATTGACTAATTGCCAATCAATTTGAACTTTATAAAATGGTAAATAATAAGGATTTCCTTAGAGTTGGTTCACATATTTTAATAATTTAGTAAATGTTTATAAATGTTTATCATGAAGAAAAAATTGTTTTCATATTTCTTTATAAAATGGTAAATGATAAAAATTGCATTAGTCTTTCCATCCTGGGTATGAAGATAAACTACATCTGCACCCTGGGTAAGATGATAAACTACGACCAACAGCAAGGCCTCTGATCAGGAAGTTTTGAGAAATGTGGAACCACTTAATTGATGGAGTTCTCAGGTCCACCCTGATCTGGGGTGGTAGCACCTGTTAGGGCCCCAACTATGGATAAATAGTTAACCCCTAAACTGAGGTTAAAAAAACTATGAAAGTGTAAAAGTAGGTTTAAATACCAGAAATACAATGACTCATTTAATCTCTTCAGATCTTAGTGGGTTACCATTCATGTTCAGGAATCAGAATGTCTTGCTGACATAATGGTTAGCAGCTCAGAATGAGAAATTGGGAACCGAATTTGAATTCCAGTAGATTTCATTACATCCACTTTCATAGTAATGTCCATCGGGAAGGAATAAATCACTTCATCTCCTCAGCTGTGTGTTAAATAGTAGAGCAGACTGGGGTTTTCAGACTTGGTTGGTAACCAGTCTAAAAGAACAACAACTCTGAATTTAAAATTAAGCATGGAGCTAACAATTTTATTCATAGTAAACCCTTCTTGTTATAGAAACTCTAGTAACAACGACCCCTATATTTTGAGACTGTGGCCTCATACGCTACAATTAGAGAGAGCAAGGGTCTTGAGAGAGAAATCAAGAATCAAATCCCCAATAGACAATCAGGTTTTATACCTGCCAACAGGTTGCAAGTGTCTTCTACTCATCAGGATCAAATTTTCCCATTTCTTAATTCTCTTACCTGTTTGATCAATGTCAAATTGCTCATTGTCTTCCTAAACATTTAATACAATTTAAATATGACGACTTACAGAAATCTTAAATGTTAGGTTCAAACTTAAGTGAAGCATTTTATAGATAAATTCTAATTTTGTTTTTTCTTCAGCTGACGACAACAGTGAATGTTGAATATCCACATCAGCTAAAAGTCAGTGGAGCTCCGAAATCATTTGACCTGAATGTAGACAGTTTGAGATTCTCTGGTAGAAATGACTCTATCATGGAAATGAGGCTGTGCACAAGGTGAGAGACTTTTTGTTTTTTTTTTTTTTTTTTTTTTTTTTTAACCTCCAACATAAAAAGAAAAATATTTTAATGAATAATTCCATTGAAGACATACAATGGACTCTTGCTCGGCTTTCCATCAGCCAGCCAATGACTACATAAATTGCATTTTTATTCTTGTTCCTGTTGTTGTGCACTAAAAACTGGGAAAGGCCGTTGCATGTTCACAAAGAAACTAAAATAAAAATGCCACATAGAAAAATGAGAATTCAATTTCCAATATATTTAAGTGTTTTATTCAAAGTGTGGGTGTGGTAGGTGACACTTGGGACAACTGCCATGTCACTTTAACAGCTCAGTTCTATCTTAACAATTTTCTGCCTATGCATGCATCTCGATATATGTATGCCAATATGAACATGTAGCATTGAGACTACATGAAGGACAGTCTGACCCTGACCCCAAGGCCAAAAAAAGAACTTTCTCAATCCAAACTATGACTGTTAATATAAACCAGCAACTGGAAATCAACACTGTCAAGTTTGTTGTCACTTAACATCAAAAGCCCTCATCCACTCATTTACTCTTCTATTCCCCTTCAGTTAAGTGGATGCTGAATTTTTCCTTCTATGTAAGTGTCCCAGTTATAAATGTCACAGTATAACTGTCAACACTCATTGGTTAAAAAGTACTTTTTTCTTTGCTTTTTTTTTTCTTTGCTTTTTGTTTTTCTTTAACTAAATTGTTTTACAACTTCAATGAATATTGTAGACAAATTTAACATATTTATAAGAATTCATTGGAACAGAAATTAAAGATTCTTTTTCTGATAAAAAAATATACACTTGGTATATAAATTATAAAAATAGTCCACTTTAATTTTTGTTATTAAAATGAAGAAATGAGAAGGAGAAAGTAAAATGCTTGTTTCTGATAAAATTAATATTCTGTATTTCAGTTGGATCAATACTGACCTGTCCAGAGTGTCTGGCATGGCTGTCCTGGAAGTTGACATACCAACTGGTTATGTGACTATGAACTCTACCCTAAGAGATTATGTCCAGAGTGGGATTGTTCCTAACTTAAAAAGGGCTGAAAGTTATGGACGTAAAATTGTTTTCTATTTTGACCGGGTAAGCTAATTTCTTTTGTTAATAAAGATAGTGGCTTCTTATACAATATCAGAGTAGCAATGATCTGACAGATTTCTTTTCTAACAAAAGTATCAATTTGAAACTTGTGTCTGTACTCCACTCCCCTTCATGTTGATAACCTACAGTTCTTCAATGTTGCACTCTCTTTTCTCTTGTATTTGTTTGATAAATGTTTTTCTGGTTGACATCTACTAATTTTACCATGAGTTACTTGCCACAATGGTACATCCATAATAATGTCTTCCTTATGGCACAGTGTTGTACAAATCATAATCTATGTTTCTGTATGTCTTCAGAGATGGGAAAGGTTTGCTCTTTGTCTGACAGCTGTTGAAGCATGATGTGTAAATATGAATTGGAATAGTTACTGGAGATGTGAAGGGTTTAATTTTATGCCTCCTCCTGGTGCATTTGTCCTGCAAACAATATGTAGTGGACTCATGTGAGTCCAGGCAAAAAAGAAGACACAAAACATGGATTTTAAACAAAATGCCTGTAATAACAAAAGGAAATTACATTAATGTCTACCCAGTTGAAAAAAAAAAATAGATGTTAAAAACTTATCTAAGAATTGTGGATGTGATGCAAATACATGCGTAAGAGTTCAGTTGACTGGGGAAAGGAATGTTCCCAGCAGGGACACCTTCATCTACATTCTTCTACATTTTGGAGGAAGAAAATAAAGAGTCCCAGCCACTCACCACCTTCATCACAGAATGGGGAAGGTTCATGTACCTGAGGATGCCACAAGGTTACCTAGCATCTGGCGCTGCAAACAGGATATATGACACCCGAAGATTGGGAACTCTTCTTCATTGAAGCAGGCCTATCCACTGACTCGGCCAAAACTCATGCAACAAGGTTTGCAGACGAGAAACTGACAATCGAGAGCCTTCAAATGCTGGATTGATCCATGCTTAGGGAGCTCGGAGTTGCATTAATGGGAGAAGCCCTGTGTATCATCAAGCAGGCTAAGGAAGCCACCACCCAGACAACCCACATTCAGGCACTAGCAGCCAAGCCTCCCCATCTCAATCTCGAGGTGACACCACAACAATTCAGGAAGTTCCGAATTGACTGGGATATCTTTACCAAGATGACAAATATGCCAAGCTCCCAAGCTAATATTCACCTATACAATTGTGCTGATGAGACTGTGCAAACACACACCCTAACTTCTTTACCACTGATCCAGATAAGCTACTTGACATGGTAGAAACGTTGGTTAGGGTGTGTGTTGATTATGGCGTTTTGCACAGTCTCATCAACACAATTGTATAGGTGAATATTAGCTTGGGAGCTTGGCATATTTGTCAGAAAGAAGAGGATATGTTTGTTTTTTTATCGAACTTAAACAGTGTCACCTAACAGGGCTTTTGGCAAAGCCAATGTTATATTCCGTATTTAGTTACGTGGGCGATGTGAAAACAATGTGGGCGAAGTACTGCGTTTGGTTGCAAACAATGAAATTCAGAATCGAAAGAACAAGAAAGATTGTAGATATATTTTATAGTCTTTTTAGTGAGGAAAATAACAAGTAAAAAGTTCGTATTTAAGAAGTTGAATGTCTATGGTAGTGGCAAGTAAAGTTCGTGGAGTTAACTTGACTTATGGAAGGGGAAAGGTACCCTTTGACAAGGCGTCGAACGAGAGTTCATTAGCAGCAGCGGTCACATGCTTCATTTCGTCACCGGGCCAGTGTGTCAGGAGCGAGTGACGTGACCCTTCTCCTCCGCCATTGAATGGGACTCTTTTTGACTTTCCCGTGTTGAACTTATACACGCCTATCGGCTCCAAATGGCAATTTTTTGAATACGCGGGAGATGGTCCGATTGGTTGATTTAATTCTTTTCATTTTTTTTTTTTTTTTTTTTTTTTTGAGTTTATCCCAAACGGAAGTATCTGTGTCGAGCCTATGCGTAGACATGCAGTTTTCATTTCGAGTCGGGGACTCGTGATAATAACTTCCGTTTATCAAAGCAGGGCAAGATCTCATCTTGTAACACCAAGTATGGTAGCCACAGGATCAAATATGGATTTTAACATGTTTTTATTTAAAGTCCACTAGAAATTTTTGGAAATGAATTATGGAAGCTAAAAGTTGCAACAGTTTGAGGTCTGTGTTCTTTGTTTTTCATTGATCAAGTAAGTTTCCTGAGTTTGTCTCGTGGCATTAGCATGTGTGCATATCTCGATTCTGGTAGGCATTTTTCTTTTCTGGTGGTGATTATATTTTATTCCTGTAGATGGTAGTGTGTGTGTGTGTGTGTGTGTGTGTATATATATATATATATATATATATATATATATATATATATATATATCTCATAATTCCTGTTGGTCTTGTGGGAGTTGGTTGTGTTGGTACGTGTATGTTGGTGTCATTGATGCTAAACCTCTTGAAAAAATGGAATTTTCTATCTTCTGCTTTTAATTTAATTTCTTTGTTATTTGTATCTTTGATTCATCAATAAAGCATATTTTGCTGTTGATCAGCTCTATGTCTATATCTGTAGTTGAGGTACTGAAAAGTGAGTTTGATCCTCACTGGGTGCCCCATACTTTCGGCCTTGTGCCACATCTAAGCTATGCTTGGAAAATCTCTATCTGTAGTTGAGGTTCATTTGACATGTGCTCCACATCTTTTCACCAAAGGTCCTGCAAAGATTTTGCACAGGATGCATGTAACAAACTTCGCAAGATTTGGCACTTGAACCTTGCAACCTCCTTAAAAGTCAAAACCTTTTGAACATTGATTGAATCAATCCTACTGTATCAGTCAAAAACTTGTACATTATCTGTTCATTTTGAAAAATAACTGGAAAAATCCAGAACATCATTTAGAGATTCCATGCAACACTTAGTGCAATTTATGGAAAACTGAGACCAATTTCTCTTAGGCTCAAACGAAAACATTTACAGTTTGCTGGCCACTGCCACCAAGTGAACAGGGAAATCATCTCGTCCTTACTCCTATGACAGCCTTCTGGAAGTGTCTTGTCGTGAAAATTAACTTTCCCAGACACCATAGCTTGGGACACAGGGTTAGACATTGGGGATCTGGGGACAGCAATACAGGACCAAACAGTGTGCAAAGAGATTGTCAATGGAGTTCCAACCAACCATAGGGAGGTCAAAGGTTGATTATGAAGGTCCATCAAGCGCCAAGGGCAGATAATCCCTCCTCTATCCAAGGGTAGATAATTCCTTCTTTTATTCAAAATATCAACATGTTCTTGACATGATCTTTGCTATTGATTATTCAACTTTATTCAAATACACAATTTTTGCTATTTTGCAGAGTTGTTCCATTTCTAAATATTTATTTGGTCTTTTTGTTTGCATAAAATCTTGAATGCATTTGTGGCACTTATAAAACATTTCTTTATCTTTTAGCTTGATGAAAGTAAAACTTGTGTATTCTTCCAATCCAATCGATGGTATCCCGTTGCCAACAGCACCATTCATCATAGAATACGGGTTTATGATTATTACGAACCAGGTAAGGCTTATAGTTACTGAATTTCTAAGCTAACAAGTAAATACCATATATTTCCACATATAAGGCGACCTTTAGATAAGACGAGGTCAAAAAATATATCAAAAAAATTTATCCTATACCTGTAGTATAAGATGACTGCTTATTGATTATATAAAGATGTTGTTATTAGAAATGTTATTTACTGTATCCTTATAAAATCAAAATAAATGAAACAACAGAACCGATTCTATATAATGTTTTTCCTACACATGTCATCTAAAAGGGAAACCATTGTTTTGTTTTTGTTTCATCACATGATCTCTTGCAAATACTGATTCTTCTTTTCCTGTATCTAAACAGCCTGGTGTATTAATGGCCATTTACTTGTACTTCATCGACAATCACAAAATGCTGCTAATAACAGTAAGATAATGTACGATAATAGTAAATTCCGCTTTCAACATTTTTTATTTGCAATCAAAACTCAATGTTTATATTTTCTCGGCTGAGCTTGTATGATCACAAGCTGATTTTATTGATATGGAATTATTCTTCAAATAGGCAGTTTATTATGAAGTTATGCCAGTAATATATACGGTAGAAACGTTTTTATTACTTCTATTATCAGTTTATTTGATAATATGAATCTTTTCATGTATGTTATTGGTTATCTGGCTGAGGTTAGCTGACTGACAAACATCACTTGGAATTTAAGGTTTCTTTTTTAGAATTGTGCTATAAGATGTCTCCCAATTTTTAAGGGTTATTTTTCGTATTTAAAGGTCATCTTATATGCAGAAATATACGGTATATATTTCTTCATTACATTGATTCTTTAAGCTTAAAGCAATGTTATGATCATTTTACAATGAGAAGTTCTTTAGACCAGTGGTTTTCAACCAGGGTTCCGTGGAACCCTAGCGTTCCGCCAGTGAAGCCCAGCGGTTCCGCCAGAAGTTACACAAGTACTATGATTGACAGTAATTTTTAATTCTCCTGTGCAGATGTGTGTGTTTGGACAACTTGTTAATAAATCTTGATAAATATTTTCCATCGATATCTGTCGACCAGTATGACTGGCTTAGAAGCCCATTTGTGGAATTTGAGCCATCTGAAGAACAGTTTATATTAACAGAAGAAAAAGAACTTGCCAGTGTTTCATTTGACAGAAAATTAAAATTGAAGCATTCTGAGTTTAGCCTGGATGTATTCTGGTTGCTGGTTAAAAAGGAATATCCTGCAATTACCCAGAAAGCACTCCGCCTTCTTATGCAGTTTTCAACATCCTCCTTGTGTGAATTTGGATTTTTAGCTCTGACAAACATCAAGCACAAGAAGCGAGAACAATTGCTGTCTGTGGAAGATGAACTTCGTGTGTGTCTGTCAAAAACACGACCCAATATTAAAGATTTGTACAAGAAACATCAGGCTCAAGTTTCTCATTGAATTTTTAATGAAAATAAATGTAATCCATTTAAACTGAAGTTTTTTAATACATGTGTAATAACCGTAGAAGCAAGATTAAAATTGCATATGGACGTATACAATATTTTTACAGTTTGTCTTTGTATTTTTTTGTAAATAAATCTGAAGATGAGTATTTTTATTTTATTTTAATAATTGAAAGTTTTTTTTGCATAAGACAATTAATTTATTGCAGGGGTTCCTTGAGCCACTGGAGTGTTTCCTTGTGGTTCCGCTCCAGCAAAAAGGTTGAAAACCACTGCTTTAGACAATGTCAAAAATTGAACACATTATTTGCCAAAATCTTTTTTCCATTTTTTTTATTTTTTTTTATTTTATTAAATAACCCTCCAGTCTTACATGATGTTTTGTGAAAGAAAAAAAATGCATCTTTGCTAGATGAGGTTAGTATTGTAGGTCAGTGAAAATGCAAATCCATTTAATACCTGGCAATTCCAAAACCTCACAAGTGTTTCTAGCAAGTTGAATAGACTCATATAAAGAACATGCAAAGTAAAGTTGTAAAGTTGCCATTTGAGTAATAAACATCTCTTTGGTGGCTATGAGTGAGTGACTTTTTGAGACCTTAACTTAAGAAGGCTTTTTGGCAACCATAATAACACTGAACAAAAATTTCTCATAATAACAAATTAAATAAATAGAATGAAAGATCTGTCCTGTCCATAAAAATAAATAAAAATTAATTAACAGTGTCAAAAAAAAATAATTATAACAATTATAATTATCATTACTCAACCTCACTTTTCTTCTCTTCACACACAAACACGTGACATTATCACTATCAGACAAGCAGTACACACACAGGTCGTTAACACGTATGTCAACAAAAATTTTGACTCTTTTTCTTCTTTTGAGACCATAATAGTAATATTTATTTTTAGCACTGAACAAAAATTTGAGGTAAGAATACCCCAGACACTGCTTGTATTTTCCAACTAAATTATCCAGACACTCTTTACACATATCTATAAAAAACATATGAGAAACAATGTATACACTTTATTTTATCCTTCTGTTGGATTCCGATCCTTATTTGATCTACATTTGATCCCAAACTCACAATTTTACTTGGTATTACTGTCTCCAACACCACATAACAACCAGATAATTATACTTGCTTAGTTGTTGCAACACCTTGGTGTTTTTCATTTTTACAAGTATTTTTATATATATAAATGTTAGGGGTTTATAATTATATAACTCCCCTACAGATCTTTTAACTCAAAATTGGAAATTTTTCTACCAGTTTATTTAATTTTTGTTAAAGGATTCTCAACAATTATGATGTAGTAGTTAATTTCACCTTCATTTTTTTTTTTTTCTTTTTCTTAGATAAAATATTGCCAACGTTATTATAATTATTTACTATGACAAGGGTGGACAAACGTTTTACATGCATCATTATCAGCCATGCTTTATTGTTAGCTGTGTGTAAAGTGGGCCAAATCACAATAACAACTCTATTTTCACAATGACAATAGTATATGCTATGTAATTTGTACAATTGTTTGCTTATTAGGTGTATTTTGTGGACAGACTGCACAAATAGATGAGAAATTAGTTGAATATTTTATACATTTGTTATTATTAATGATATTTGTAAATCTTATCTGAAAAAAAATCTTCTACAATAATAATTCCTCAATAAGTCTGAGATGTTTATAGCAAAGTTCATAAATGACATCCTATTTACACGCAGGCGTCTAGATCCCGACATCAATTTACAATGTGCTGATGATTGAATGTTGAGACTTTGTGATCTAGGTGTCCATGTTGTAGTACAGAATGGGTTATGTTAAATTTGTAGGAAGTGAGTTCTCCTGAGAACTCAGCTTCTCTATTAAATATAAATGGTTTCTGTCATTGTTCTTCTTTTGAATTAGCCCTGGTTATGATGATAAACTAATCTGGCAGCAAGGCCTCTGATCAAGACACTGGAGGTTTTGAGGAAAGTGGAACCATCTTGTATTCAAAATATATTTAGTTGAAGCAATAAAATTGTGTCCAAAATATTTAGATTTCAGCATTAAATAACCCATAGAGATGTTGATATGCCACTAAACAAAATCAACCAGCCAACCTCTTGAATAGATTTCTATTTTTGTAACATGAAAAAAACAAAAACAAAATCTATTAATGGACATTTAAAAAATAATGCTTACTGGGCTCTCATGTGACCTGTGGGTCATCATTTTGCCTCCATCTGGACTAGTATTTACTTTCATCTTAATTCTTTAGTTTCTTTTGTTCATAGTTTTTACTCTGCTTGTCAACAGTAGTGAATAGACAGTGGGGGTCAGAAATAAGTCTTCCAGTGAGACTCGCATTCATATCTTTTTTTACTTCAGGGAAGACAAGTTGGACACATCAACTAAGCAATTTCGTTTCTTCAAATGAAGATTTGAAGATATTTAATTTCAATTCTTCCTATGTTATTTCCTGTCAATATAAATTCTTCCTGTGTTATTTCCTGTCAATATAAATTCTTCCTGTGTTATTTCCTGTCATTATAAATTCTTCTTGTGTTATTTCCTGTCATTAATTTTGAACCCTTTACTTTTTTTCAGGTTTGTTTGTCACGCAATTATACAACACCCACAACTTGTTTCAGTTGAATATCTGCTTTGTGTGTGGATCATTCCAATGTCCCTACTGTCCACAGTTCAACATGGCCACGGTCATCAAATCAACTATTACACTGCTCTGTATTGTCCTTGGCACTTTACTTCAGCGCTACATTCTACGTAATTCCTGAGATTTCCACATTTCAATTTTGTCTGTTTTTTATTTCTCATTCTTTATTGTTTCTACTGACGCTTCCCAAAATTTCCTGGGATGAGTCTCCTGTTTTCTTCCTTTGGATTCTCAAAACAGACTCTTAAAGTCCCTATCATTTTCATCAGCCAGCCACATTTGCTTTTTGTCCCCTTTTATATTCTAGTTGGAACCCCTAGATTTTTGCTGATGACTTCCAACAACACCCACCCACTATTTTGGGATGTACGGCCCTAGATTTTATTTATCTTTTTTTACTCATTTTTTATCCCCCATCCAACTTCCATTTCAAAAATGTTCCTCCTCCTCCTTGGATCCTTTTAATACCATTCTTTCATCCCTGACAGAAATCGAATCCTCGTAGAATCCTGATAGCATTTCACATAGGGAAGAGATAGGTAGAAGTTTAATTTTAGGCTAATTTCTCATGCATTGGTAGACATTAAACATACAAATTATGGTCCTACTGAATTTACTTATTCATTTCTTTCACATTAAATTATTGACATATTTTTTAATTATTTCTAATGAAATAAATAAAACTCTGTTAGAATAACCTGGCGCCCATTTATCATCCTCAGTATATAAGACTTTTAAAAAAAAAAATTCAGATTAATCATTAATGTGTTAATTAATTAGGCTTGATATTTAATGTGATTTGTAAAGACTATTTCCCCCCATGACTATCTTTCATGTGGCAGAGTTGCGTCCCTTGTCTGTTTAAACATCATTCAAGTTTGTCATACAAGCTTTTCAAGTAACATATCAGACAACGACCTTGTCATCGTGACGTAATGGTTAATGAGATAGTCTAGTTGACTGTGTGTGTGTGTGTGTGTAATCTAAATATTTTCTCACATAAAGTACTAGAAACTGGATTTTATAGGGTTTTTAAAGAAAATAATAATTTGTTATTGCTATTACCTAATAAATACTTAGGATAGACTCTGTATAAGGAGAAATAAAGAAAGGTTTACCTACACAAAGATTTATTAATAAATAAAAATAAAAGTAACATACAAAAATTCCAGATGTATTAATAAGTAGCATTCAGTATTTAACGGTGCCTCCATTATTTGGCATGACAGCTATCAGATGTTTGGAATAACTTAAGTAAGCTTCTTTGCAGAAATTCATGCCAATTATATTTTCACCCTGTTGACAAAACCCCATAAGATAACTTAGAAGTTTCGGTATTTCTCTAAAGTTTGTCCCTTTCACAGATTTCCTATAGGATTATTTAAGCTGACTGACTGATTAGACCATTAAAAAACTCTCTTCTTCTTTACCTGGAACCAATCTTTCATTTTAACCGCAATATACTGGGGGTTATTTATTATTTTGCCGAAAATTCCAACCTTATGGTAGTTAGAGAATTTTCCCAGATGAAACCAATTTGCTATACATAGCACTATTCCTTCAATGATGGAAGCAGTTGGTCGGCCTGTAACATTGGAGGAAATCGAGCCCAAATCCTATTTTACTTCAGGTAATCTTTTTTTTTTTTTTTTTTTTTTTATATTATATTTTGCACAAATGACAGTTTGGAAAAATAAAAAATAAAAAAAAAAGTTATACTGGATTTTTTTTAGAATAAATCATAAAATATAAGAGTCTATTAAATGCTGATTTGTTTGGAAAATTCTCTATTGTTTTTATCAAGATAATTTATAACCAACTGTGGGAAATAAAATGAGTCTTAGAGAATCTCATATTAGATATTTTAATACTTTTTTTATAGAATCTTCAATATTGCAAAGAATCTTTTTTACTTAAATAGACTGCTTCACTTGTTAAGAAAAAAAAAATAAAAATGTGAAAATTTTTTTTGAGGGGGTTGGGTGGGGGTGGAATAATTTTTGTAGATTAACATTAAGGCGTGGCATTTGTCAGAATTGAAAAATATTGTTTTTATTGATTTAGGAGGATGGGGTGGCTGTTCATGATATCAATATAGTGTAAAATTGATCCATGACTTTTTAAAGAGTTATTGGACTTAACTGTTATTTACAAATGTCAAGTTTGAAACTATGCTTACATCACTGATATATGCATTTTTTTTGTGGGGGCACCTGCACAAACATTGGGGAATAATAAATATTTCTTTTAAATGGAGAATTAATGGAGACACACTTTTGCTTAAGCGATGCAAATTTTTGTTCATTAATTAAAATATATATATATATATATATATATATATATATATATATATATATATATATATGTGTGTGTATTTGTTCTTTATTTAAAAGTATCATTATTACAAGAAAAAAAAAATATCTGTTTTCACATAGCTGGGTTCAATAATTCTATTAAAAATTGCAAAGTTTTTTTTTTTTTTACACTGAATTGATATCATGAACAAGACTTCTCTCCCAAAATGGTAAAAAAAAAAAAAAAATCAATGTTTCTTAATTGTAATTAATGAATGCTAATTTGCAAAAATTATTTTAAAAATATTTTCTCTATTCGTGGATCCCTCTCTATTTAAGTAGTTCCCAAAAATGTATGAAAGTGATTATGAAAATCATTTGCAAATGCCAAGTGTTAGACTATATCCCAAAATGAAAGAGTTGATTTGGTGAAGATTTCTCTTTTAATTGATAGGTGAAATTCATTTCTATGTTATTTGCACATTTTTCCATGAAAAATTATTTCTTTAGGAAGATTCAAATGAAGTGTTTGATATTTTAAAACTTTTGTTAAATCAACATCTTGAGAGAAAATGAGAATCCATCTTGACTCTTTGCCTTGATATTCATATATTTAAAAAGAAAACATTTTTCAATCTTGTTGGCCAATGAAAACAAAGCATTTGAATATGCAGAAAAGAGTTCTTCAATTTTCATTGGTTATTCATTTTTGCAAAGCAGCATGATCACTTTTGCTTGGGTGTGGCTCAGGGGGAAAAAATTGAAAATAAAATATTTTTATTATACATGACAAATACAAGAAATATTTTATTTATGTTATTTGGACTGTTATCCTCATCTTCGTTGCCATATTCATAACGTTTTGGCCGTTGTACACTTCGGCCTTCTTCAGGTGATTGAAATTTTGAACCGAACGCTTTATTTTGTCCACCGGGGGAGATTGTTCTAGTTCCACGTGCCATGCCTCTTCTGGATGTCTCAGTTATTTCCTTTTAACTCAACTCTCCAAGTTTTTGGGTTTGCCACTGCTGTGGCCTGGTATTGAACTCACAACTCTTTGGGTCTAGTCACTGGATCTAACCAACGCCTTTAACCTCAAGGACACATGGCCCTGTGGATAAAGGCATTGGTTAGATCCAGTGACTAGACCCAAGGAGTTGTCAGTTCAATACCAGGATGCTATAGCAGTGGTGAACCAAAAAACTTGGATAGTTGAGGCAAAAGGAAATAACCAAGACATCCAGAAGAGGCATGGCACATGGAACTAGAACAACCCACCCCAGTAGATGAAATAAAGGGTTCGGTTCAAAATTCCAGTCACCTGAAGAAGGCCGGAGCATGCAATTGCTGAAATGTTGTGAATATGGCAATGAAGATGAGGAAAGCACTCTGAATAATGTAAATAATCATAATACCTCATCTCAGAGATATAGAAAGATATTGAAGAAATATTTTATTAATAATAATAACTTTTTATTTGTTATTTTAAAATATTTACAATTTATATTAATATTAAAAATCTAGATGGCAAACATGCAATTATTTGTTGAAATTATATATGTAATATGTCTGTTAAATATATTAATGTTTTATTCTTCTGGAACTGCTATGGAGCTAAATCTTGTAATTTCCAAGTTTGATAATTATTGAATATTTAAAAAAAAATTTACTCGACATAAACAGTGACTGGTGCTTATAAAGTATGATTTTATTTAATTTTTGTACTTCTACATATAACAATGTTTTGTCTGAGGTAGCAGAAGAATCTCTATTGCTTTGGGAATTGGTAAGATTCTCTAATCAAGGTGGTTTTGGTTTCAGGCTAGAAAATCTAGCTTTTCATGGTCAGTCTTAAGTTTAGAACCTTTTTTCTCTCTCTAAAGTAATCTGAATATTAAAATGATTACCTGTCAAGACATGAAAGCAACTTGGAATAAAACTTTTTAGCAAGCTATTCTAGTTGACCATTAATACTGAATAGTGAGTTAATTCCTTACTCGGCCCTGCATATTTGTGGCTTTGTGCCAAACAAAGTTTAATAACAATTCTGAATATAATCTACTTGAAGGTTAATTAGTTTGGCAAAATGACAAGTGTTTTTGAGTTTAAGGTTTATTTTTATGACTTATTTTTATGACTTATTTAACGATAAACTGGAATTTAAGAGGTAGATTGTTACGACTCTTGATTTTTAAAAAAAGACTGATCGATTTCAGAAATCAGTAAATAGATCACGGATTTACAGTCTGGATGAAACATGTTGCGTACTTGTGTGTTGGAGCAAGGGCACATTCAAAAAATTTTTTTTTTTTTTTAATACTGGATCTAATGATCTCTGTCTGAAATTCTTTTTATTGAAATTAGACCCTGGCCAGCACAATTAAAACTGAAAGGGGCCACATTGTGATTGTAGAAAATTAGCCGTGGGTTGCAAGAGTGAGATTTACTGAGCATTAGTGAGATAGAATCTTCTTGCCATCTCTCTCTCTCCCCCCCCCCAACCTCGATATGTTTCTGTCTTTTTCGTTTGTTATTGATAATTAAAACGATTAATTACATGCAAATACAGTGAAATATTGGTTAATGTAATTATGCTTCCACAAATTTGAATTTTTTTATATGGAATTAGTTGCCAAATTTATTCTGATGCACACAAAAAGAAGTCAACTATTTTAAAATCCCTTGCAGGCCACCCTGGGTACTCTCACAGGTTGTATCTTGTGCAGGACTGAAATAGAGTATTAGAAAAAAAAAAAATTTGAGTAGAAAATGAAAAGTTCTTTAACAACACAAGGTGAAGTTTGATTCCTTTGGCGTTACATCTAAG